CATTTAATCATTAGTTTACATTTGCTTCTCTCTTCTCTTCTTCTTCACTGTTTATATTATTCGTATCAGCATTGTTACTCGAAAAAGCATTCATTCTGAATAAAAGAGAGGAACGAAAAAGCCGTTCCGTCACAACTTATATTCGCTTGTTTGGTTTACTTGCTGGTATCTTGGGGATCAACTATTTTGTCATGGTTCAACAAGCTACCATTATTTTCTTCGAACTCTCTATTGCTATGCGATATTTAGCAACATTATTTATGTTATATTTAGTGATCACTGAGATATCACATCGTAATTTGCTGTTGTTCGCACTTGGAGACGTATCAGCGGCGACCTGGACACTTGTCGCACTTTGGTATGACAGTCATTTAGATGATAGCAAACTCAAACCCATGAATAAAACATATTAAACACATTGTTTGGTTCATATTAACGGGTGCGGGTGTAAGAGTGATTATGTGAGGATGAAGAAAATATTTACACCCACACCCACACTCACCCGCAAACGTATAGAAGAATATTGTCCCTATACAAAAATACGTTAATTTTCTCTTTAATTATTATTTAAACAAAATCGATAAGGCGAAGATTAATATATTTCCAATTAATATCAAGGATCATCTCAGTTAGACGAAAAATATTCTTTTCATCTTTATTGTTTTTTTTTATGGACTCATTTGTTAAAAATATAAATAAACTAAGAACACACATGATGATCATTGGTTCGATTGAAAAAGTTTCGCTATTAAATATAAAAGACATTTATAGATATCTGAACTTGCTCGTAATATTTTTCAGTTCATAAATCAAACAGCAAAGTAAAATAAACTATGTGCAAGGGATAATAATATTTTTTAGGAGATCGTGCCGTTATGATTTCAATCGGTATAAACAACAACTTTTATATAGGGTGTGCGTGTGCTATGTGGGTTGGTCTTGATTGTCTAGCGTATTTCATAAAACCCTCAATCAAAGCTGCACACAGTCACATACCCAACACCCACATCCATACCCTAGTTTTCGAAAAGTTCTTTCTAATGAATTGAGAGAAAATCGGATAGAATTTATGTATTGATGTGTAATGATTAAAAATTTGTATCTTGTTAATGAAGAGAGAGAGAGAGACACAGTAATATAATTAATGCTTGTTCTCGAGACAAAAAACAACCCAAATGATGCATCATGTTGGAAATGCGGAAGATTAAAATAAATGTGTTTGATGTAATGTAAGAGACTTCGTACAGTGTGATGATCGATAAACAAGAACAAAAGCAATTGAATGGTAGTCGTAACGTGTACTACAATGAGCAATAATATCTTCGAAAGTTCCTTCCGGTATTTTAGCGTCATCATTGGGTATTCTTATTCATTGTCAACCAAAATAACGATCATTTTCTACTATGAAAATTTCCGAAAACGATAAGAAGTAAAGAACAAAGAGCAGTAAAACGAACATTTGTTTTCTTTATTGATTGATATTCTATGCTGTATGCCATGCGAGACGACTGTTTTTTACACATAACATGCAAGCAGATAGACCAATAGTGAGAAATAATCTCAGTCAAACTCTTCAAACAATGGATAGCATTTTGGTTAAAAAAAGTTTGCCAAGATGTTAGAGCATATACAGCTGATCAAAAATTATCTATTAATGGTCAATTGGTTATTGAAAAAACTTATTCACAAGGGGTGTGGGTGTGGATAAATTTAAAATCACACCCACACCCTGGGTATCGAACCTTTTTTCTAGAATGAATGAGAGATGCAATTATGATAACAAAATTTTTATTTGTTACAACTAATGTAAATAGAACAGAATTACTCTTCACGTGTTCACGGCTGTGTTCTCTAATTTATCCAATCTTTGATTGATTTCTATCTTCAATTCTTCGTCTTCAGCTAAATCATAAGCTTGATGGTAATAAAAGCGTGCATCTTCATATTTGCGACATTCAAATTGTAGGACACCAATAGAGTAGCATAGTTTGGCCTTGTCGATGGTTGAACCATCTCGCTTAAGAGCTTTGTCAAATGAATCGTACGCATTAGTTTCGTTGTTCATCTTTTGATAAACTAGACCAATATTGGTTAAAATACGCATTGGGGTAAGTTCATTATCCTCTGCATAGGCGGGTCGAAAAGTAGTTGATATTCCATCACTTGGTCTTGCTGCTTTTTCCATGAGTTGTTCTGCTTCCCTAAGATTGTCGATTGCAAATTTATACAAGTTATTCGCAAACGCTGATATACCAATGTGAAAGTGAATTTCAGCACGAGTTTTCGACGAAAGATTTGACGCTGATTCAAGCATTCGTTCATAAAAATTAATGGCATCAGTATATTCACCAAGCTCATGTAAGATTTTGCCCAAAGTGAAGTATGTACATTCACCTTTTAATTCATTGAAGTTATTGGCCATGTGCACATTCATATCAGTAGATAATTCTAGTTCGACTTTCCAGTGATTTTCGGGCGCTTGATTCACTGATTTAATGCACCAAACAAATCCCATAAAGAAGAGTACTTCTTCTTCATCCGGATTTTCACACTGATTCGTTATGTCTGCACATGGTCGTTTCATTTGCATCATTTTTTCCAACCTGGTATCATCAAGATGCATTTCAAGTATGACCGTTTCATAGCCACTTCTCATATTGACATTGTCAGCGAACATATTGGCCACATTATCATTCTTTGTCGTGGAAAGAAAACTGTTAATCGATATGAGATTATTCGTGTTATCCTGTAATTGTTGTAAAACACTTGCTGGTAATTTTTTACCTCGATGTAATACAGTTTGTAAACAATTTCCCGTACATCTCTGCTCACTGCCTAGTTTAAGTAGTTGTTGATGTAAGTGGCTTATGAATGGATGAAATGTGAAAATTCTCTCAATATTTTCGCATCGTAATGCCTTATTAACGCTTCGAAAAAGAAATGAGTCTTTGCTATAAAATCGAATAGCGTCTGTTGAGCTGTATGTGTCTTCAAATTCATCGACTTGTTTCAGATAATTATCATTGTCCTGATTGGCTGTATCTCCACGACATCTCGCCCACATATGTATAATGGCGTCTTTGTCAATTGGAATTCCCAAGAGTACTTCAATAAACGATTGAAATAAGATGAATTTCAATGCTTGTGTACTCAAGTAGGAAAATGACTGCTGATTTTTAGGTTTTTCATGAATACCGAATGATAGCGTTGATTGTTGAAGGATTGTTTCATCATTGTCAACAACCATCTGAGGATATTGATTCTCCTTGTTAGTAAACTGTTTAACATCATCAGTAATTTTTTTAAATAATTCATCGATAGAATGAAATTTTTTATCTGCAGATAATTCTGATTTTAATTTATTTTTGTCAAATTGAAATTCATATAGGAATGAATTATGAGGAATTCGCTTAGATTTTCCCATGATGTCGCATAAAAACTGAGCTTTTTCACCACTAATAATAAGAACTAGCCTATTCACAATGAATCCATGCCTGACATAGGCTGTAAGGTTACGGGGATCAGTAAACGTACACGTGTAATAAAATGTCTCATCGAGACGTAATTTCATTAAGCGTTGATAGTGTGCTGGCAGTTTGGGATCATGATAAAAAATGCACATTAAATTGTGTCCGATCGATGACCGACTATTGAGCACCATTTTACTACAATGCTCGATACACTTAATAATATGCAAGTTAAAAACTATCCCTCACGTAATAACACTGAATGGAGTTATTTAATTGTTTAATAAGTCAGTTTTACCATTAAATTAAAACTAAAACTAAATCTAAAATGAAAGAGCAAGCATCACAATGATATTATTTTAAAAAGTTCGTTTAAAATTAACAAGTATCATCAAAATGAGCAAGAGCGTCAATTTTAGCTTTATATAACTTGCGCGATTGTACATCATCAGCAATTTCGAGTGCTTGATGATAGAAATCACGTGCTGTTGTGTAATCTCCTTGACGACAACTAATTTCAGCGATTTTATTTAATATATTGATTTTCTCTATGGGTGAGTCTTGAGAAGAGGATAGGTCTGGTTTTGATGTTTTTGCTTGCCCAATTACAATTGGCAAAGGCGTAATAGCCAACTGTAACGCTTTTTCAAACGATTCCAATGCTTCTTGGTTCTTATCGATTGCCGCGTACATCAAACCTATGTTGTTGTAGACCGATGCGAGACTGGGATGATTGGATGGAAGTATGTCAAGTAGATATTGGTAGTATTCCTCGGCAGTGGGGAACTGTTTGATAGCAGTCAGATAATTGCCGAATGTCAACCATGTGAGACGGCTACCGATTTCAGATTGAAGCTGATTTTTAATATACTGCATTGCGTTATTGGCGAACTCGAGTTGAGCACGCCAAACACCGTCGGGTGTCGGGTCAGTGGATACTAATCGGAAAAGAGTACCAAGATTGAAAACAACTGTGTCTGAATTTAGATCCACTACTGATGCTCTCTCGGACAAATTGAGTTCGAAGAGAACTACAGTGAGTTGATTGTCAGCTGCTCGACGGCACATATTAGCTATAGAACGAAACGAGCGTGAAGCCAAAATGAATGTTTGTAGGGTGAGTAGAGCATTGGGATTGGTTTTGATCATTTCTAAATCTTTCTGTGATACTAATTGAGCACGATACACAGTAACAGTAGACGAATCGACATTTTTCGCCAAAGACACAATACGTTGATTGATCTCGTGCAATTTTGTTGCCGATATCTGTAATATTGATTTATTGAAGTTTTTAAAAAGATTACTAATTGTCGTGTTCGCTTCGATCAAACGAGAACGTAGCTGATCGATATTTTCAGTATCGCTAGCAGCAGTCGATTGTGTCGGTAATTGTGAAAGTATGGTACTGAATAGTTGGAAACGAAGAAAATTGATTTGATGTTCGGTGAGTTCAGCGCAAGTATTAGATTCAATTTTAAAAACATTCATGTTCGGTGTAATAATGCGAATTTGACGATAGAAACAAATGTCTGTTGTAAGTTGCTCAAGTAAATCTTCGTTGAGAACAAATATGCCGCTTAATTTTGAATACGGTACCAGTGGTTGGATTTGTTCATAGGACTCTAAATCAGTAACGATGTAGATTGCATGAACGGCATCGAGTTCAGCTATCGATTGAACATGGTGAACATCTTTAATTTCGTTCATTGAGATTATTAAAAACACAGTAATTGAATTATCAGCTTGTATCGAATGAATACATTGTTCAATATTACGAAATTCATCGATTCTGATCTTGTTATGAGACAAATGAAATGGTTTCCGTGGACCGAGATATAATAGAACGATGCGTAATGTGTTCAAATTGTCGTCCAATACGTCATTAATAGATGCCGAAATGCTAGTTTGCTTCGCCTGTGAACATAGCTCAGCCAATAATTCCTTAGATCTTGACCAACGAGATGAACGTTTCATGATCAAATCAATATCTTCTTTAATTCGGTTGGCTATCATATCGATCGATGATTCACTACCAAGAATCTTCGGGTAGTCTTGTATCCAGTCAATTGATTCTTCTTCATCAGGAACTTGATATATGTAAATATGTTCGATACATCTGTGGTTGTGTATCAATGGCACGACGGAGACTCCTAGTGTAGCTGACAGTACGAGATATATGAGCTTATCTGTAATCGATAATAGTTCGGAAATACAATCGCAAGCATCCTCGAAAAGGACGATTTCAATGTTATTATTTTCAAACGTTGTCCGTGATGGCAATGTCACTTCGAGAGAGCCAACAAAAATGTTGATATTCCGTTTGATAGTTGCTGTTCTTAACGATGCAGCTACAATATACAGAAATAGAGATATTACTTCGTATACGTCGTCTTCAATGCACGATATCTCGAGGAAAACTATGACTTTTCCTAATATGAACAGATTTTAAAAACAAATTACACTCCTTCGTAACTGATGAGTCTTTCTAGGACGGAAAAATTTTGTTGAACAAATAGAGAGTTAGCATAGGTTTTCTTAAAAAAGAAATATTTTGTCTGACTCTTTTCGCGGATCCTATTTGAAGCTTCATCGATCAAAAAAACTCTTATTCGATAAGATTCCCATAGAAACTTTTAAAAGTCATTGGGGAATCTTAGAAAATATGCTAGTATTCGCACAACAATATGGGATGTATTCAGTTGAATATTCATTTCCCGATTTAGAATTCAAAGCGAATTGGAGTTGCTTTCATGATTTATAAGTTTTGTTTATCGAATTTTGAACTTTCGACGAGTATAATTCATGATATTTCTTGATTAATAAGAACAGACGATCTTTCACGCCTACCTTCATCGACAAAATTCCAGCCGGCACATTCGAGACGGAGACCGACAAGTTCGTTGCAACATGCAGAAGCAGATTCTACAGTGATATGTTTGGTCAGTGCTTGGTGCTGAAAAATAACATCCACAGACATATTTGCTGTTCATCGGACCATTGTGCTGAATTTACCTTCACGAGTTGCACGTGTTCTGTGGAGCGTGTGACTGGATATGGGCTCTGTGGAGTCGACGTGACTATTGTAAAAGAAATAGGCATCGAAATGAGTGAGTGAGTTTATGCGTTCTGTAATAGACATACTTGGTTGGTTTGAAACCGGCAAAGTATCATGAGTGTGTAATTTTGTAGCTTGCGATTCTGACCTATAGACAGTCAATGTCGTGATGAATGATCACTAGCTTTTAAAGAGATCTTGTGGCTCAACTGTTTATGAGCTACGATGAGATTGAAAAACTCTAGCTTACTGGAGTCGGAGAAAAATGATAAATGAATTTTGATACTGAACGAGCAAATTACTTTTTGAAATTGGACGAGAGGCTAAGGTCCCAAATAAAACCAATTCTCTATCGAAATGTGAGTTTTGTTGGTCATTGACCATCACAAAAGATAGAGAGGGCTTGAATTAGTATTCTAAGTAAAAGGGATTTGTCTGAGTGGTGATTCTACTAACGCCTATTTCAGAGATAAATAGTCGCAGGCATTTTTTCCATCACCTTCGATCGAAATAAGATAGAAATCTGCGACTGTCACCATTACAAAGAAAACACCCATGCGCATGAGTACATGCTAGAATATGGTTGCGTGCTAAGGAGCTAACTAAGCGTATTTTCAATGGACATTTTTGTCAGCTTTGCTGAATTTTTACTTTATTCATTTGATAGAACAAATTGCTCTCTTTCGATCTGCACAAGGCTGACCCGTTAATCTGATTCCATCCTAGAGTTTAAAGGCTTTTCTGAGATCCCTGATTGCAGCCAATCAACATTAAATCACCCAGAAAACCACCCGGAGTGCGGTAGTTCATCATGCTGATTCCAATGATGATATTTGTTTTCGGACTTAAAATCATCTTACACTGGCTTTTGAGAAATTTTTGAATTTCCCAATGTGTACAGTCTTTCATCAGATTAGTTCTCATTTCGGAAATATTGAGATAAAATTGTAAGACCATTTCAAATCCGAAAACAAATATCATCATTGGAATCAGCATGATGAACTACCGCACTCCGGGTGGTTTTCTGGGTGATTTAATGTTGATTGGCTGCAATCAGGGATCTCAGAAAAGCCTTTAAACTCTAGGATGGAATCAGATTAACGGGTCAGCCTTGTGCAGATCGAAAGAGAGCAATTTGTTCTATCAAATGAATAAAGTAAAAATTCAGCAAAGCTGACAAAAATGTCCATTGAAAATACGCTTAGTTAGCTCCTTAGCACGCAACCATATTCTAGCATGTACTCATGCGCATGGGTGTTTTCTTTGTAATGGTGACAGTCGCAGATTTCTATCTTATTTCGATCGAAGGTGATGGAAAAAATGCCTGCGACTATTTATCTCTGAAATGGACATTATTTGGTCAATGGGCATTTATCAGAAGTTCGGATTTTCTTGAGAGTATTAGCGGTGGTTTGAGATGGAGCTAGAGGGATATTCTCAGAGGTCTTAGCCAGATGGGGGAAGATTGGGAGTTTTAGTGGGTGAAGATTGGGAGTCTTAGTGGGTGAAGATTGGAAATCTTAGTGGGTGATATTCAAGTTTTGTTAATATCTGTTTGAAACTCGTTATAAAATGCTGAGAAAAAGTGGTTAAACTAGGCCTCTCCTGTCAATTGGTTAATTCTCTGAATAAGGTAGATTTCGGCATGGAGGATGCTGAACCAGAATCTGCTTTACGAAGCTTGACATCTTAGTAGGTCATTGAAGGTAGATAATCGACGAATCAGATTGTATCGTGAACGCTGTGAAGTGGCCATTTACAGTCGCATTATTCTTCACCATTCGACTTAGTTGAAGGAAATTCACACCATTTTCTGTGTGAATAACGAAGCGAACAATGAGCAAGACAACGCAACAATACTCCGAATAGAGATCGTTATGGGGGAAGGTCTAGTGGAAGTGGGTTTTTGAAAAAATCTCAGGCAGCAAAATAAGAAGGTGGAGAACGAGTTTCAATGTCATGCATTGAAGAGAGAGTTTAAGGTCACGTTGTGAAAAAAAAATACTACGGGCCTTGCCTGAGATTCAGGTCAAATCTTAGGTTTGGGTTGGGAGAGAAACAATATAAAAATGGGTCTTGTCTTAGGCTTGGGTGACAGAATACAGTGAACCATGACGATTCCCAATTCAGATTATTGCAATCGTTGGTTTGCTCTTTACGCCTTCTCAATACAGATGAAAACCAATTAATCGATCATTTCCATGACAATATGGCCGATCTTCAGCAAAAAAGGTCGAGCAGGATTTGATCCAAGGCCAATTGTTTGAATAATCTTTCGTGGTTGAAAATGGTGTAAATGAAATCTATAGAATAAATCAATATGAAATAAAACAGAGATATTGAGCACCAACAGTTTATGTCCTTGAGTGATCATAACTTTCGTGTGGCTTTTTAAAAGAGTCCTGATACTAATTGAATAGAGCCACCCTCTGATATTGTCCCAATAGCAAGGGAGGAATGGTTGACTAAAATTAACCACAAATGAATAGAAAATCACCCATCAATCAATTTATTTTCAATGATTGTCAGCGATTTTTGGTAATTTTGAATTATTTCCTGTGATTTGCGGTGACTTTCATTGGTGAAAATTAGAAAAAAAATCCGAGCATCAGGGAAAACCACCTAAAATCACGAAAATCAAAAATCGCTGTTTCCCTCTTGCCCAATACTAATTCTCGAACGTCTGATCCTACCTTTTTTCTTATATTTTATCATGGAATTCATCACAAACATGAACAAAATGAATGCATATTGACCTTGTTAATTCAGAAAGTCTGCGGGAGGTTTAGGTTGTCCAAAAACTGCACAGAAACAAGACAATTTTGACTCTACGGACTATTAATATACTCACGCGTTCGTCAATATTTGACGAAGTTGTTTTGGTGAAGAGAAAAACACGGCTGTACTACACTGATGCAGTCACCTTGTGTAGACGGGAGAAAAATGATGTATTTCTTGTCAGTGTTTGCCTTGTATTTACTTTTTTTTCTCGCGCTATGACATGCAAGCATCGTATTCTCTTTTTTTTTATTATCGAGACACCTCACTGTTTCTTATTGCTTCAAAGCCAAGGAAAAACGAAAATACGGACCGCTGATGCATAGTCACGTTTAATTGCACAACTCCGCTTCTCAGCAAGACGTGGGTGTGGGTGTAGGTGTATTCTGTGAATATGCAAGCATAATTAGATACCCACACCCACACCCTCAAGAAGTTTATTTGAGAATATAAAACCAGCACCGAGCCGAGCCTGAGCAAGCCATAGTAGTTTGAGCTCGGTATATGTCTAGATCAGTTATTTTCATAAGAAATTCTACTTCTATATGCTCATTGAAGACTAGATATCTAGACAATAATACAGAAATATTGTATTTATCAATAGAACAATTGAATATATATTTAAATTAATTTGTCTATCATCATTATATATAAATCACAAATATTGGTACTCATTAAAACTAAGAAGAATTAGCTTATTGATGTTAGTAGTGACGGTTAACAGAATAAATATAGTTTATAATAGTCTTACAAGAAGGGTGTGGGTGTGTTATGTGGGTTGGTCTTGATTGTCTAGCGTATCTCATAAAACCCTCAATCAAAGCCTCGCACACCCACACTCTACGCATTAAGATAATCTCCGATATCTGTAATATTTAACCATTTATTTCCAGTTTGATTCCAAGAACGTATTACACGAGATAAAATTAACATAAAAAATATTCGAAAAGATTTTTGTTCAAAAGTTCGAATTAATAAATAAGTTGATAAAAAAAATACCAACATTGATGTTCTTCTTCAATAAAATTACTTGAAAATAATGATATTAAATGAATGAATGGATAATATTTTAAGAATTTCTTTGAAATTGTATTTTCTTATCTTCTGTCTTTTTTTTATTCATTAAAATAACAATTAAACAAAAACAAATAACCCCAATAGATAAACTAATAAATATATTTCCTGATAAAAGATATATTCCACTGAATACAAATATTGAAAATAAAGATCTCTTCTCAATAGTAAACCATAAAATAATTGTACTCTAAAAAAGAAAATTTTCTTTTTTTGGTTTTAAATAAAATTTAAAAAAATTCTTACAAGTGAAAAAATACTAATACTCAATAAAAGCATTGTTAAATCTTGTTCGTTTGAAATAGACATTGCTTTATCACGAATTAAATAAAGATCATTGGATGAAATCGTTAATTTCCTTTGAGATAAAATATCAAATAATTGTCTTCTATTATCATCGATTAAACATTTTAATAGATTTGATTTATTTTTATTATAAAAATTTTGTAAAAGATTTTCAATTATAATTCCAAGATTATTTGAAGAAATTGAAATTTGAAGTAAAGCACTTAATGTTGGTGTTAAGTCAATTCGAAGATATTCTTCAATATTTAAGATTTTATTTTGAAATTTCTGAGAAATAAAACAAGCTGGAACAAATGTTTCAACCTATGATGGACCTCCATGTCCACCTTGATCAGTCATTCCATAGACATCTGTTATTATTAATGTATCATTTTCAGTCATTTTAGAAAATATATTATTTTTTATTTTATCATATTCAAGTAATTTATCTTTAACAAAATCATTAAAAGCTCCTGATGCATGGCCAATATGATCAAGACCTAAATAATGAATAATTAAAAAGTTCCAACCATTTAATTGATTTAATTCTGCATAAAGACCATCAGTTACATTTTAATCAATCTAAGTAATTAATAATAAATAATCAAACTTCTTTCAAATCTGTAACAAAAAATGATTGAAGACCTTTGGATCGATGAAAAATATCATGCGGAAATAATCTAATCCAAGTATCATCGCCATAAAAAGCAATTTTATTGTAAGGATATTTTCTTTTATATTGAAATAATAAATTATCTAATTCAAGTTGACTTGAATTATAATTAAAAATCACATCCCAAACTGAAGGAATTGTACCCGTTAATAATGCCTGGATATCATTTATTTTATTTTAAATTCTTTTATTCAAAATTGATTACTTTCAATCGAGGTTATGTTACTGTTGGAGAATGACAACGTAATTTATATGATAAATATTTACCATTTTCTTCTAATTTTTCAATACTTTTTAAATAATATGAATGATTACGATTGAATACATAATCAGCACGAAGTGCATCGATTATCATTAACATAACATGACGTTTTGACGATTCTAAAAAAAGCAACGATTTTTAAAATTAAAATTAAATTTCTATTTTAAAACCTTGAGAATCAAAACAAGATCGGTTGGCTATTTTATTTACTGACGATGAAAATGGGAAAAGTCCGTGCATTAAAACAATAAATCCTAATAGATGAAAACATATCACCAACAATTCCGATTTCATTTTCATTGTCTATGTTTTTTCTTAAATTAAATTAAATCAATCATATTCAAAGATGACCAACTATATATGACTTTATAGATGACACTATCTCGTATGTTGATATATGTGACCATATAAAACTTTAGTCATATGAAATGAGCATATATGCAGTCTATCAATTCACACTGTACCTATATTCCATGTATCTTGCATACAATGTCAACGATTGTCATTTGTTGTCAGTAAAATATTCATAGAGAATGATGGACCTGGGGTGTCGTTATTGTACGCCAGCGTTCTCTATGATTTTTATTTTTGCATGCCTCTTTAAAAACAAATCAAGAGCTCAATTCAATGATGAGTAATTTTCTCTATCTATATATGTATTAAAGCTATATCTAACTCTTTCGACAATCTGAAGAACCAATCAATGAGCGTTTGCTATTGTTTACCTTATTACATTATGAATTGTGATTGCGATTTCTCGACTGGCTGAGCGTCCGTCTAGAGGGTCATTTTCAGTGTTTTCAATTAGGGATGTAACAATACCATTTGGAGACACATAAAGATTGCCAATTTTCACAGCGAAAATCTACCAATACCAACCAATACTTTGTGTTAGTTATAACCAGCGAAGTTAGCTCCACCTGATAGAAGTATATAAAATACCAATACCAACAGAAAAGATCCCCAGTATTGATGAGTTTTCGTGAAAATAACCGTTTTTTACCAATATTCGCCAATACTGGGGATTTTTTCTATTGGTATTGGTATTTTATATACTCCCACCAGATAGAACTAACTTCGCTGGTTATAACTAACACAAAGTATTGGTTGATAGTGGCAGATTTTCATTGTGAAAATTGGCAATCTTTATGTGTCTCCAAATGGTATTGTTACATCCCTGTTTTCAATCATTTACATATCGTCAGAAAAATCGAGTGTACTACGTCGATTCTGCTGAATTAATGTACGTTTCTACAGCAGCACTTGAAACTGAAAAGCGATGCATAGTATTAAATTAAATATAATGTTTTAATGATGGTAGATTGTGACCTCTTTCTATCAATTTTATGGACACCTAGACATAGCTTCTCTTTTTCTGGATCGCTATTCAATACATAAGTATTTCTGATTTCAATATGAAGTATTGAAAATGATAGCCTTTATTAATTCACGGTGATCCTTTTTTGCGGATTGAATGATAAAAATCTTTAGGTTTTGTCTTTTTTCCGAAGTAAAATTTTCTGTACTTTTTTCGCAAATATATTCCGTCTTCTGCCATTTAATTAGTAATGATGCATATTTTTGTTTATTAAATTCTATATATTTGCTTAACATCCTTGATCAAAGAAAAAATATAAGAAAGTTTGGTGTTTATATTTGTTCTATTTACTGGTGACGATTAGGTATATTTTTTGTTAACAGTTTTTTTAAATTTTTTATTGATCAACATCATTTTTCGGTTTCCTACGTCAAGTTTAATTGTTTGTGGTGGTAATTAGCTCAATTGGCGTTTATTATTAATCAATTTTACTACTCTATTGTACTTTTCAATCTCAGCTAGCTATTGTATTAAAATAACTGCATTGATCTTTATTTATCATCATTTTTCAAATTGTCAATGGAAGTTATGTCGTCTGCTGATACAGAAAAAAACAAATTAGATCAAGAATTAAAAATTGTAAGTTTAAAACTTTTCCCTTCAAATCTACGATCATAATTGTCATCAAAATCGATTCGTTGAACCACTTAGACTGTCGAAAAACTGTGTGCTAATCCAACTGATGATAACGTCATTAACCCAGGTGAATCAATCCGATACCGAATCCCATCGGATTCTACGGGGTCCTACCATCCGACGAAATCCCGTTGGATTCCTGGTTGAGGAATCAATGTCGAATCCGACAGTCGGATTTTATTAGTTTCCTTGCGCCTTCCGAAGAGCTCCGTCGAATTCCAATAGGAACCGATCGGAACTCATCGGATCCTAGGCTAGGATTCACTCTCCTGGGAAAGAAGATCAACAACATTGATGCAAGTAAAACTTTTCATTTTATTTTTTGCACTTCAATATGTTGTTATTTTAGATTAAATTCATTAATTTATCGAAAACTTTTCTGGTAAGAAGTAAAAAAGTTATCAATACATTTAAACAATAGAAGTGTGTGTCCATAATTTGATTAGGGTCTACCAGTATTGAGAATAATTCGACTATGAGCGAAGATGACGTTTGGAATATGTTCGTATCGTAGTTAACGCTATTACACGCTTTGTTGATTTGTGTAGATTGTTCGACTTCAATGAGTATTGGTGATCAATGGTACACTAACAAATAAATGGTATTTTAGGAGGTTTTGACCATCGAGATTTTTTAAAAGTATCGTAAAAGTCTACGAAATGGTTTTTATTTTATTTGAATTCGCAAAAAACTGTTGTTGCTTCGTCCCATACTTTTTTCAGTAAACCCTAGTGCATGTTTCAAATAAATTTTTTCTATAGAAAATAGGAATTTTGAGTGATTTTTTTAACACATTTGCGTCCTGAACTATACCAATAAGAATCTGTATAACTCTGTGATGTACAGAATTTCATTTAAGAGAAGAAAATGAGAATATATTCTAGTTTCGAATCATACGATCTCTAAAAGAAACGCCTGAACAGAGTTTTTCATCTAATATTGTTCTAGAATACAATTCTGATTGAATCACTGGGCAAGATAGGGTAAAACGATTCTAAACAGATTGAAATATCTTCGAGGTCTCTAAAACATTTTTCTGATCGACATCCATCCATCTGTCTGAAGACAGAAAAGTTTTGTTTGTATACGAAATTTGAAGAAACAATCATTTGTTTGTCTACAGAATGAGAAATGCATGTCAGTCAAAAACAAATGTTTTAGAGGCCTTGAAGACATTTCAATCTGTTTAGAATCGTTTTGTCCTATCTTGCTCAGTGATTCAATCATAGAGATCGTATGATTCGAAACTAGAATATATTCTCATTTTCTTAAATTATTCTCTTAAATAAAATTCTGTACATCACAGAGTTATACTCAGAGTTATCCTTCTTTGCAATAACGATACTGGGGAAAAGGAAAAATATTAACATGAGTGAATTATCCAGTGGACCATTATAGATAAAAGATTTTGTCTTATGATTTTTTTTTCTTCGTAGAATTCTGAAACATCAAATAATGATGATTCATCTGAACATGGCTCACGACGATTAAATGATGATAACCAAAATAATTCTTATTTTCAAATGGGTAAGTTATAATCATAGAGTTACCTCTTAATATATATTAAATTACAACAACACTAAAATTTTCCAATCTGAATATTTTTAGAATAAGAACAAGAGGTTATATTACCTTTTACTTCTCAATTTTCTCTGTGAAAGACTACTTGATACTAATATATGAATAGGGATTTCGATAACTATCAAAATAGAATAGAAGATTTCTATGCTGAGATTTCTGAACTATAAGTTTTTTATTCTTCATGTAAAAATTGTTTTTGTGACGATCAAACAGTCAAGATATACGCCGCCTTTCATTATTTTTTTCTTGTTAAATAATTATTGTAAAACTATTCAATATGTGATTGATCACAGATAATGATACAACAGATTGAGTGATTCAAAAGCAACGACAAGTTTTTATGACCTTAAAACGCACATTAACTGCTACAAGAAAAGATAGTAAAATATTTGCTCGATAAACTTGCAGATTGTTTATCGAAAGAGCATTTATTTCTGAAATCTAAACAACGAGAGTAAAAAGAAAACTGAAATTCATTATAGTTCCTATATTTCTTTCTAACTGTTCTTGCTCAAGATCAGGTTTCTTAAGAAATATTTTGTATCCAGATTGATTAATACTACCCAATTCTAAACATTCGATCAATAAACTGACTTGAGATATTTGTTCATTCTAAAATTCATCAATATCAAGGCGTTTGTCATCAAAACAAAATTTTTTGACATTATTTTTCAGAGTTTTCTGTAAACCATTTACAAAATAATAATTGCTGAATAATTATTCAATCTTGAATATCAATACAGTTCTTTTGATATTGAATTTCATTCACTAATTCTACTTTGCCTCATACTATAGACTTATAATTAAAAACGGAATATTTAATATATAATCGAATTCATTCTGATTGCTTAGTACAATATATTCTATAGTTATCTTATCTAACGTTTTTTGTAGCACATTTTCTTTAATCTTTCAAGATATACGATGTAAATCTTTTCTTAGATAGCTTTTATTTCTACAGAGTAAAGAATACTCTATTCAATTTCTTTCAAAGGATTTTATTATTAGCATTGTAATATCCTCGAACATACAGGGCAAATGATTTACTTGCTGATGAACCGATCATAATTGAATAGTCAGTTGCAGTTGAAGTTATGCTAATCATATTTTCTATGCTTATTATTGAAGATCAGTTTTTATTTTATTTTATTTTTCAAAAAATCATATTTATTCCATAAATAATTTCTATTACAGTAAAAATCAATTGACATATATAAGAATGTCTACAATCTAAATTCTTGTATCTGCTAGGGAAATTCCTATTCAAAGATCTATTTTAATGGTTTGGTTCTACTAAAAAACATCGTAAGATGGATTAGATCAATATGAACATGTTAGATTATTTTTGTTAAATTAATGATTAATTTCTTGATTGTAATAAATACTTATGTTACTCGGTGGAAAAAGCAAAAAAAGTTATTTTAATCATACTAATTTAATTTCAAAAATCAATATTCTTCATAGCACGTTGCCTACGAAGTTGCCTAACCTTTTGTCTTCTCGTTATATTCCTATTAAATGTGGGCATATGGGCATTTTATTACATCACAGATCTTTTCAGAATCAAGATTAGTTTTTTTCTTGTAGTGAGAGATCGTGGGTTCCAATGAGTGGATGGAATTATATTAGGTTTAATAATTTGTATCCTTGGTGCATATATCTTAAAACAGTTATCAGGTGGAAAAGCAGCTACTGCGTGCATTCTTTTATTTATTTGCCTTGTTGGTTTCTTTATTGGTGATGTTTTGTCAAAAGATGCATGGAATAAAAGACGCGTTCGAAGAATTAATCCAATCACAATAGAAAACAAAAGCTCGTGACGTTATTTTTTTTGTTCTCATTTATTTTCATTCACTTACTGATTACACTTGTGACTAAATATAGCTTAGAATTTGAAAAGAAAAGAATATATGAAGAAAAAACAAAGTTTTAAGTCAAATTGAAAATAATGAAGAATTTCTTTTGAAAGTTGGCCAATTATTGATTCATAAAGAAGGTTTCTCTTCATTTATATCATTTGGTCTAATTATTGATACTTTAAGAAAAAAATTTTAAAATAAACAACCATCTTTTGTTTTCTTTTTTTTGTTCCAGATGAATTTATCAATAAAACAAATGGTTAATGATAAATTTGAAGACATGAAAAACTTTTTGAATTAATTTAAAATTTTTTATTTTTAGCATATTCATTTGATGGCATAATTGCCTTCGTTCTATTGACAATATGCACATGTGGTTATATGCGTCGTGTGCCAAAATTACGTGAATGGTTCTTTTTGGAAAAGAAAGGTTTTGCGGGCATATTTCATAAAGGCTTTCTTTTCTTTTATTTATTTCGATTATTCGTTTTTTATTATTATTATTATAGCGTCAACTATTTGTACGCGTCTTTCACTTGTTGTTGCGATCTCATGTATAACAATAGCTTTTTGACTTGCATTTTTAGGATAGAGATTTTTTCTTGTGCCCCAGGTCGAATAGCCCGGCCTGGAAACGGCCGGTTCCGGGTAGTTCCGTTGATTTTGTGGAAGCAGTATTCCGGTTGGAAAATTTTCGCGTTTTTTCCAGTGATTTCCGATCAATTCCTGCCGGAAAGCACCGGAACTTGGCAGGAATTCGCCGGAAAAGTCCGGCCGTATTTTTGACCGGAATACTGCTTCCATGTTCCAGCNGCGTTTTTTCCAGTGATTTCCGATCAATTCCTGCCGGAAAGCACCGGAACTTGGCAGGAATTCGCCGAAAAAGTCCGGCCGTATTTTTGACCGGAATACTGCTTCCATGTTCCAGCGATTTCCCGTGTTTTCCTGCAGGATACAGCGACTTTCCCGCATATTCGCTGGAGTATCCTACGGGATCTGGTGGCCGGAATGTTCGACCTGGGTTGTTTAAAAATTGATTGAGCTTTGGAGTAGTCACCTATTTGTGATACTGCTTTTATAGCACTCAAATAAATAGGTATACTTGATTGAATATCATCCAATTTCATTTGATTTAAAAGAATTTTATTCACGTCTGGAGGATTTTTTGAATTCATTGAAAAGTTCGATTGTTTTCTGAGCTAGATCATTTTCTACGTAACCTGAAAAAAAACAAATGACTGTTAATATTTTACTTCATCAGTAAGGAGAAGAGAAGTTACCAATAATCGTGATGGAATAATCAACAGTTATATATGAAAGGATTTTTTTCATCGATGAAAATAATGCAATTGGCCCGACTAGACATGTGTGAAACGAGTTCTGGTCTCGGGCGTCGTGGCAAGGATCAAAAAGTGAAATTTTATCAGAACAGAGAAAACCTTGCCGAGATCGAGATTACAACTGAAATTCAAGTCTATATCATATTGTTTACTCGGAGACTTCTCAATTGAGGTTTTTTATATATCATAACTTACTTTATTGTTTTCATCATAGCATTTTGTCACAAAAAAAGAGAAGCGTATAATAGATAATTAGACAAATACAAGTAAAATATGTAAATGTAAAATTTTAATCAAAAAAACAAATTTTTATAAAGATCAAAAGATGTCATCGAATTTAATGTTCATCCTTTGTATGAATATTGCTTTATTATCTTGAAATAGTCTTCTTCTTTTCATGTGAGAATATGATCGTGAAAAACCTGTTGCTGATACATGTTTATTTCGAATGTCTACTACAGGAACTTCCTATTCCGTTGATTTATTCTAATCAAATTCTCGAAGTGGTTTGAAATATGCTAAATTTTTAATCAAGAACATAATTTTATCTATACTTTTCAGTGACCAATCGTGTTCCCTTTTAGTAACTGTTGCACGTAAGATTGAGAATATTTGTTCGGCACTCGTGTTTGATACAGATATCATCAATATTCTTTAATAGTCTCAACGTTAGCTGTGAAAAATATCAAAATTAAACTACTGAAAACAAAACTGGGGTTGAAGATGAAGAGGTAAGAGGCAGATTGTGATCAAGATTTTATCTTTCACAAACTAATATTTTCGACAGCTGTACCAATTTTATATTCGACATTCTCATTATTTGACTTGTTCACTATTGACCAAAGTGTAGAGAATTACGCTTCCAAAATAATAAATAAAAACATGCGAGCGGTAAAGAATTGTTTCATTTCTGGCACAAATAAATTCTAAAGCAGTTTTACCACGCATAGAATGGGACCAAGAAAAAAAACGCTTAGCTGAGACCGGAACCAACCACTGCCTACCAGGGTGTAGATGTGGGTGCTAAACTCCATTGAACCCACACCCACCCACACACTTTCAATGGTTCCCGATTTAAGCTATATTACGCGTACCTGCATTTGCAAAGCAATCAAATTAGGAATCAAATTATAATCTTCAATCATTTATACCGAAATTCGTTAAAGCTTTAAATATTTACGCAATCCTTTCTTAAATCATTACATGGAAACCTTTGCAAATGTACATACTTTATCAAATGAATGTTGACCCAGGTGAAAGCCACACGGTCGTAAACGGTCTTTTTTCGACCGTATTACGGTGCATGCCAAAACTTCAAGTTACGGCCATTTACAGTGAGAACGGCAGGAAACGGCCGTATGCGATCGTTTCTGGTAGCCGTAATGCTCGACCTGGGCGATCGATTGTTTTAATCTTCATCCAATTGTATAAAACACAAATTGACCTTATTCCATATATCATTATAATTCCCAACGATCATGCACCTCTCCGGTGTAATTGTTCAAGTTTCTTCATCGAATTAATTGACAAACATGTTGTACTCGTGTTTCCTCCTAAAAATAAATCATATTCGATGAATTTATTGGTATTTTCCGTACTAATGAATATTAATAATAAAAAAATCTGATATCTAAATTGTAAATAAAACAGAAAAGTTATTACTGGACATTAAGACCATTATTTTTATATAATTTTTAATCGATTATGATCGAAAAATAATAGGAAAATTTGATTAAATAGTATCTTTTTGGGTTATTCTTGATTATAATTGATTAAAGCTACATGATTTTATTCGATTTTGAAATGTTTAGCGATCTAATTTCTTTTACATGGATCATGAAGAAATCGTAAGAAAAGACTGTTCTACACGAGTAATAATGATCCATGAGTGATCCTCTAAAAGTCACATGACAAGACGTGATATAGTCATTTAAATCTTTTTTATGGGCCATGATCGAGAAATGAAAATCTATGTTCCCCAAATACTCTAAAATCGGCCGTTAGAAGTTAAAAGATGGTACTTACGATTTCAATAATCTTGATAACCAAAATTACAACAAATGCTTTCTTTTTAGACCATAGCCAAGGTTTAACATGACGAATTGTTCGTTGCGTATCTGCACTCGCACAAGAGTTAACAACAGCAACATCATGGGCAAGTGTATTACCAGCAACATTAACTTCATCAACAACAAGATCATGAGCAACATTAACTTCATTAACATCTGAACCAGTAATTATGACAATGGCACGGATACTTGGATGAATAGCAAGATTCACTTCACCGGTATCTTTAGTCATATCTGACATTGTTATCTAGAACATATAAATAGATTGAGTAAAAACCGTAAGTGTCCACAGAATGATTTCTTCTCATTGCCCTGTCCTGTTCACAGAAACAGCATCAGGAAAAAACTAATCCTATCCTATTCCACTCTGTTCTAGTACCTAGCTAAACTCGCAAAATATTTACTTTACGGTAATTTCTGATTGAATTAAAAAGCAAAACTGTTTCCTCATGATATCATCGAACATTCTTTTTAGTGAAAATTACTCGATAATAAAAGCAACAAGAAACACAATAGCGATTATTAAATAAATAATTGAATATATCACTAGGGCAAATTCCATTAAATTATTTCTAGAATATGATTGTGGAAAAGACCAAGATATATTTGATGTAACAGTAGAATTACAAGCAGATATTAAGTAAGTATTGTCGTCCGAACTAACCAGGTCTGTCGATAAAAATTCTGAATTTAAAGATTTTCTTACAAGACGTTCTTGAAAAATATGTGTATAAACATAGCAAAGAACTTCGTATTCATTTTCATCGAATTGTTTACGTGTATAAATCAATCACTGAAAAAATGATAAATTAACATCAATCACAAATTATCGTGTTTCAAGTAATTGATCGATTATAGTTGCATCAGGTGAAGAGTGTGGGTGTGAAATAAGCAAATGGTCGAATTACCAATATGTGTAATGTAAAAAATAGAAGAACTAATAAATATATAAATAAATGGTTAAATAAGGTGTGCTTTTTATTATCTTGTTTTATTATTGCTTTTGTTGTTGTTTTTAATACTTTGAATTTTTTTTCTAAACGAAAACGAAAAAATAATTATCTACTATGAATATATATATATAAGAAGTAAATAAATATGAATAAATGAGCTTTTAAGAATACGATACAAAAACAATAATTGAATAGATGCGCTTTTACGAATAAGGTATGCATAAGTAAATGAATGCAACAAAAAATAAGCTTCTAAGAATAAGAAATAACTAAATAGAAGAATAAATAAATAAATGAATAAGAAAATTGGTTCTTCTCCAGACCAACGACACCTCCACTGTATTGGTCAATAGAATAATAGGAGAGGAAAGAAAAGTAATTGGCTCATTGAGTTCAGTCAATAGACCATTAATCGATAAGAGAACGAGAGAGAGGGAGTACATTTTCAAATGGAGGGAGTAATGATTCAAAAGTATACGTTTAAATAAATCTTTCGAGATCTTTATCAAAATCATTCAGCACTTGAATGGACAAGCCTAATAACGATGTTGACCAATGTAAAATAAAATGTTATAATAATACATAAAATCATAAATCAAAAATAAATAAAGAAAAAAATTATCTAATACTTAATCATAGCAGAATGATCATCAAGTGTAGCTGTGGATGTCAACAGCAGACACAACCAAAAGTCAGTCACTTAGGCTCACGCCACATTCACAGGCCCTCAACTCGTTGGATTAAGTATTAGATGATTCTTTTGGCAAGGATTTCCACAGATATCAAAATGAAATCCATGACTGACTTGCAATCATCCGATTGATTGATCATTGTTTGTTGATCAGCAAACTAGTGAATTTGCCTGGTTGCATTTACCGCACACAAATTAAATGATTTTATGGGTTCTATTCAGTAATTATCATCTACGCCGATACCAATGCCAAAGAGACAATGCATAATCGTAAACGAGTCTGCATCAAATATGATCCGTGGTAAAAATAACATTTTATTATAATTAATTAGTTTATTAACGAATCGGTTCGTAATCATCTGAGCTGATAGGGTATGGGTGTATGTGTTGATGTGGGCGTGCGTGTTTCCCTCTTTACACTGGCACACAAAGCCGCCACCTTACCGTACCCTACCAACTGAGATGGTAACCAGTCTATGTGCTAATAAACTAATTAATTATAATAAAATGTTGTATGTACAACGGATAATATCAGACGCATACTTCTTTTCGACTATGAATTGATTCGGTCAGACTGGAGTCGGTGAAAAATTTATTCAGCGATGTTGGAATCATTTAAAATTGATGTCGCCGAAATCATGATTAAAATTATTATCTCTTCCTTGTTTTTAATATTCGTTCAGCATGTTATTTTATTTATTATTATTATTATTTGCAAACTCATGAAAAATACAATATATAATATATAGATATATATATAATCAAGTAAAATATAATATATTCGTATATCAGATATAATTTACAATTATGAGCTGAATAAATAATTATAAATTAACAAAGTAATAATACAATGATAATACATAAAAATAATAAATATATATAGTATACTAACGTTTGGAATGCAACACGTTCTTCATCAGAGTTGAATTTGCTACTAAATGATACTAAGACATATGTTTGACCTTTTTTCTTCTCTATCGTTTTGTTCTCTTTCTTATCTATTTAATACTGGTACAGAGGATGTTGGTGTTAGTGTGTTTGATGAAAAGACCCACACCCAAACGGTTTGTCTTTTATAGATGCTAAAAGTGAAAAATTGATTAGGTGGCAAAATCTCGAAAAGCAAAACATCGAAAGTGAAACATCGAAAGTACAAAATCTCGAAAAGTGAAAATGCCGAATAGAAAATATCGAAAAGCAAAATATCAAAAATATTGTGTTTTGCATGAGACTGTTCGTAGTGCCTCGATGCTATTTTTTTGCAACTACTTCATAAAAAAGAAAGAAAATTAAGACTTTTGTTTTTTTAGTGAATAGAAAAATACTAAGAATAAATGAAAAAAAATTCTTTATATTAATTGAAATACAATGGAAAAACTCTAAGATGAGTAAATATAAAAATGAAATTATTTTTTTGTTTTTACATCTTTCGCCACAAAGAAAAATAGACCATGTAAATATTCCTGAACGTCGATTTCTGCATTCTCGAATCTAGTTGACAGTGTTTGAAGTCGATCTTGCATGATGCAAACTTTTTTCGATTTTTTTCATTTTTCCGCTTTTCATATGAAGCATTTGTTGTCTAAAAAACACCTCTTCTTGTTTTAATTTTGAAATGAAATGCCAAAAGTTAGGGTGAGTTTTATTAATACGTTTATTGAACCTATTATGCCACCCTAATCAGAAATAAAAAGATGATCATGAATATTATCTGTATTACTCTACAGTGCTGACCTTCAGCGTGATTGTTTGTCCTGATATCAATATTATGCACATTCCATAGCTCGACAGGCATTTGACGAAACCAAAAATTTCGAAAATAATCAAGAAGATTACTAAGAAGTGGTGGTGCTTTTGAAACAAGATGTTCGAATCCATCTTCAACTTCTCGGCAAGGTAACAGAGGAAGACTCATTAAATGGCGGCAAGTATCACGAATATTATCATCATCTCGATAATGTGTCGCAAGACCAAGATTTTGAATTTTTCTATATATTGTTTGACAAAAATGAAAATAACATCCATGATGTTTTGCTTGAGGAAACTTAAAAAAAGAACTGGTTAAAAGAAAAGTTCTCAAATAATTACCTTTTCTCGAACTGCTTTTATTAAAGACTTTTCAAAGTCGAATGTTATTGTCATGGGATTAAAATTAAGCTGTAATCGAGTTGCATGAGTTTCTAATTCGTCGAATAAGTGTTTGTAAATATTACTAGATTTACCTGTTAGTAATGCTATGGCACAAGGAAAACCTAATCAGAAAAAAGTATTTGTTAACGCCATGCAAAGAAAAAAAACACTAATTTTGCCATGTTTAATACCATGAACCGTGTAAACCTGTTCGAAATGAAGTGGAACAGCATCAAAAGTCCCATCCATCATAATTTGCTTTGCTTTAAAAAGAGTAGTTAATTGTTCATCAGTTGAGAAGATTATGGTTCTTTTCTGATAATTAGTTATATCTGATAAAAGAAATCGTCGACTATCAATTGTTGTTGAATAAATAAGTGGTATATAAAAATCACTAGATTTAGGTAGAATAGGTGTTTTTTGACGACGAACTCGATTATAAGAGAAGATTCTATAAAAACAAAATTCCAGTAAATATCATAGATAAGTATTACATACTAGCTTCTTGTGATGATAAACAAGTTGCCAATCCACACTGAGAAAAATTAGCACGAGCAAGTTCTTGATCGTATCTCACACCAATTGGAGTTGATTCATGTACTACTCTTGTTTTTACTACATTCTTAAACCTTCGTAATTCTATCTTCTCTGGAGATGGTAAATGGCTATTATGATTACCTCGGTTTTTAATAAATTGATTATTAGAATCCGTATGAACACTAGCACTGCACATTCTCTCTTCGCAAATCCAATAATTGACCTTGGTAGTTTCTTTGTTCATTTTGTACAAATAGCCATCATAAATCAAAATAGGTTTTCCTTTATTGCTTGTTAGGAAAGAAATACTTGTCGACATGGAGAGATGAATTAAGTAAATACTTCTTTATCGTGATGAATGATATAACGACTATTTACGCCGTTAAAAAGAATTGTATATGTGGACGGGTCATGTAAGGGAAAATTTGACGAGAGAAAATACAGAAAGAAATCGAGGCCCTGGTGAAAGAAATAAACTGTTTATATCTATGTGCGCATGGAGAAATTCGTCAAACATAATGAAAGAAAATGAAAAAGCTATGCATCTTTAAAAATTAAAAATTTTTCGAGATTTTGCTCTTTCGAGATTTTGCCTTTCGAGATTTTGCAATCTTACCGAAAAATTACGTATTATCAAGCTTTTTCACTTCATTTATATTTGATCTCTCGTAGAGTTTTAACACTAAAACATTTGTTAATCATTTTTACTCTTCTAGATTTTCTTCTTTCGATATTTTGACGGTCAATCATTTTTTCATTTGGAGTTCGAAGGAAAAGCATCTACTTGTGTTTTTTTACTAGTTAGCGAGGTGAAAAAAAACTTTTTTGCTATGAATATTGTAGAGTAGAAGAATGTGCTTTGTTTATCGAATTAATTTGTGTGGCAAGTTGTTTTGTAAATGTTTGTAGAAATATTAATAGAAACTCGCTAAGAGCTGTTTAATGAGATTTATGTAGAATAGGGACTTTGCATGCGGGATTGTGAGTTGTAGCGAAGAAAAATGAGCTTATACTCAATATACTTCACCGTGTCCACGTTGTTAATATAGGCATTTTGATTATTGAAATATCTGGAGGGCATATAAATATGAATTCTGATGAAAAGAAAACTCGTTACTGTTGATGTTCTTGCTTTGAAACTATAATAAGAAGGAATTACATGGCCGAATCGCTACTGGCAATGCTCGAATTCTGACGTAAGATATCCTACGTTTTTCTTACCCACACCCTCAAGGACGAAGTAATTTCAATATATTTTATTGATTTTAAACTGCTACAAACCTGCTGTAAATTTTGCGACTAATCTAAATACTATTTTTCATTAATTGATATCGTTACTTTATTTTCATCTTTAATTATCATGAGCATCGCTATTTGAAATTGTTAATTCCTTAAGATTAATATATGAGACATAGAATAAAATTGGACTATTTTAGTTTGTTTAAAAACTTTATTTTCCAACTTAGCATTATATATAGTTTCGAACGTGGATTGTGAATCCTTCTGCGCTTTCATTTACAAATAGTGATGTCTAGAGTTTCAGAGATTTTCTTCTTCTCCTTCACATTTTGTTCCTTGTAAAGATATTACTTATCTGTCGATATTTACGAAGGATATTTCATATGAATAACTTCGAAAATCTCCTATCCATCTTCAAATATTTACATTCGTACGGGATTTTTCCTTTCTTATCATCAATAGATACATGAGAAACATATACAGTTAACGTTGTCGATTTGAAAGAGGACGTACATGGTTACAAAATGCCAACTAAAAACAACATTATTTCTTTTTGAGTCTACCTCAGTCTTTATTTATTTAATTCATAATGTATCATATGAGAATCGATGTTCATTTGTTTCAATAGATTGATGATGCAGCGCGATTTTATTTTATTTAATATAATTAAATAAAATTTAAAATTTTTAAATAAAATAGGATTTATTTAAATTCTAAATGTTTTTTCTTTTTCCAATATTTCGTCCTTGTTTATACGGACATTTACGAGAATTGTTGTTGTTATTGTTGTTGTTTTGGTTCATGTCGATGATGTTGTTTTGGTTCATGTTGATGTTGTTTATCCACGACCTGATGTTTTCTTATCATTTCCATTTCTATTTCCTGATCTTATTAACTTGACCATTTTACATATTTGTCACATTAAATTTGATGTTGCTGTTGTCGTTTCATTCGATTTCATATCGATTCTCATATGATACATTATGAATTACATGAACAAGCAGCAAAAGAATTATATGAAATCGAATGAAACGACAATCGCAACATCAAATTCAACGTGACAAATATGTAAAACGGTCAAGTTAATAAGATCAGGAAATGGAAATGGAAATGATAAGAAAACATCAGGTCGTGGATAAACAACATCAACATGAACCAAAACAACAACAATAACAACAACAATTCTCGTAAATGTCCGTATAAACTAGGACGAAATATTGGAAAAAGAAAAAACATTTAGAATTTAAATAAAGCCTATTTTATTTAAAAATTCTAAATTTTATTTAATTATATTAAATAAAATAGAATCGTGCTGCATCATCAATCTATTTATTTATTCAAGCCTTTTTTAATAGAGTGAAAGTAAACATACAAAGAATTTTTACTTTTTCGGTGAAAGAACGACTGGCATTTGATTTTTTTTTCTTATCAAGTTTGCTTAACAACCGTCGTTCAGTAGAATTCATTTTAACATGGGCTGTTTTTCTCTTTTCTGGCGTGAAATAGAATCTTTGTTCTCCACTTCCCTTTTCATTTCATATTTTTTCAACATGTTTTTTTTTTAGCCGCGGTGCATTGAGTTGTTTTGTTTGTAGTCAATTTGAAACAACAGCTCGGAAATATTTCTTTATTGAACTTCTTTTTATATGATCATATATCCGTACGTGATATTTTGACATTAAGAAAAGAAGCTCTAAATATTGAACGAGTGTCAGTTGTATTTCTTCGCAGTAGCAGAAAGATATCATAGATCGAACCATTTTCGATGTGCTATCGATCGAGAAGAAACGCGCTTCATACTAATATTCCCCACGATGACTGAGCTTGACCAAAAAATTGATGTTTATTTTTAGGATCTCAACGGCAACATGCACCGCAGATATCGAAACGTCGAAATTGAACAGCTTGCTGCTCGTTTAGACGACGAGGCAGAATTGAAATTAACTTCCAAGAAATTGACTGGCCAAGACATAGAGATTTTGGCGAAGCCATTGCGAAAAAATAGAGTGAGTAGTATTATGCTGAAATTTTCATTTATATACCATCGCATCCTAGCAAAAAGACTATATCGACGCGAGTATCATTTTCTTGAGTTTGGAATTGCAGAAGATCATTACTCGTACTCTTAAATGAGAAGTTTTTAACTGCTCTGCTCAAAAATCGTTTTAATGAAGCTGTTATAAATAGTTCAACCGTAGCCAAGATCATTATGTAATTTTTTCTACTGAAATAAGTTGCTAATTCGAGGATCATTATAAAAGTTTTTCATAAATCGATAAATAACAGTAAAGTAGATCATAAGCTTTGAAAAAACAAATACATGAAAAAGATAAATACTATTCCTCATAATAAAAAGCGACGTTTCAGATTACGGACATGACTTTCCAAAGAATCTCAACCTAATTTTATTGTCCTGATAATCATAGGATGGTGTAAAATTTCACGAGCTTTCAGAAGATGTTGTTACTTTTAAAAAAAGATGTTCTTTTGGTAACAGTATCCTCAAAATACAGAGTGAAACTTACTTTTTCCAGGGGTATATATATACAACTTTTATATCTAACTAAAACTTCACTAAAAACCCGAAACTAGTACATGATCATTTTGTGAATGATTTTTTCTTTTGAACTATTTTATATTTTGTACTTAGTATTAAACAATTTCTCAATCAGCCCACTAAATAGGCAAAAGCATGGGTGGCGCAAACTGAAGTTTCTAGGGGTAGCAATAAGTTTATTAAGCCGATAATTTTTTATCAATTTTCTATGTGCCAAAGAAATAGTTTTGCATCAAATAGCAAACAATAAAAGCAAACCTTTTTACAGAAATTGCCAGAAAAATCGCTTACGGCTTCTACTAGAACACGTATAACTCCAGAATAATAAATTCTAAACATGTCAACTGTTTTTGCTGTTGTATAGATCTTTCATTAACGGTTTGAATGCACACGTGATAATAGAAAATTCGCTGCACATACCTGCCGAAGTAGATTTATTTTGAAAGAAGACTGGAAAATCTTAAGAAAATCAGAGTGAAAAAACCTATAATATACAATTCGATACAGATTACAGGATTTAGTGCCGTTTCCTTTATTGCCGTTGTAAACTATTGTTTACAAATAGACTTAGTACTTTTTGCATTTGAGGTTTCTCTTCTAGAAGTTTTATGAATGACTTATATAAAACTTAATGATCACACTTAGAGAATTTTTTATTCTTTTATCTCAAACATTCTATTCTCATCTCAAACGTTCGTAACTCTAATTGAAAAGTTTTCGCATAGTTCGCAAGGCAAAAAATCAGCAGTTCAAAATCTAATTTGTAGCTTTTATCTCAAAAGGATTATTATAACTTATTGAAATAGAATCTAGAGTTTTATATGAGAATTGTTGTTTGTCAGGTTTATTCGAACTAATTGAAGCTGAATATTAGGAAGAGGGTAATTTTTATGAATGAACTATTGTCTTTTTAGTATTTTTTCTCTCTCAAGGTTTAGTGTGATCATTAGATTATTTAGGGAGTTATTCATATAACTTACATAATTCTTTGAGTAATTTTCTTGTTTGAGAATTTATAGTTGTGTGATGGTTTTTTTTTGATCGCACTCTTTCGATGCACAGTTATTTAATGTAATGTAATGAGGTGAAAGGCGTGACTTCGCAAATTGATTCATTATCATTTACTAGGAAAGTTTTCATTATACTCAGGAACTTAATATTTGTGAAAATATGCTTGTGAGGAATATTTTTATTATGTTAAGAAGTTCAATATTTGTGAAAAGAATAAGTAGTGAGGTGAACTACGTGTTTCAGAAGTTAGTTAGAAAATAAAACATGAATGCGATTATATATTATAAAAGTAAAGTTCATTATCCGACCTATTTCGAGTGTACGAATCATTACTGTTTCGCATGCGCCTACCAATATGTTGAAAATTCCAAACCTTTTACTAAAAATATTCTAGATAACAAGCACCAGGGGAAGAAAGAAATAGTGTTGAAACTTTATAGAAAGGTGACTGGCATAAAATAAAATTGATTTCTAAGTCTAGTGAATATCATATTGGTTATTTGGTATTGTTTCAGATGTCAAAATCTGTAGATCATGTTATAATCAAAAGAGATTGTTTAGTTTTGGTACATAATTAAATTGAATTAAATGCTTATATGTTCGGGTTTTCAAACTAATTCGAATTCTACAGAATAAGATGTACTTTGATTGTCGTAGAGATGTTTCTCAATTATGACAAGCTCCATAATTTCTATTTAGAATTCTAATTATGTGTGAAAAAAGGGTTTCCAGAAATTTACTTTTGCTTGTCTTATTGGACGTTCGACAGAAAAAAAAGACTGGATTACATCAAAGAAAACTTGAAGCTTGTGTGTATTAAATAAAAAGAAACATTTCAGATTTCATAAGCCAAGAAGAAAGATATTGATACTTTATTTTCGAGGTAACTTTTGGAATATCATGTATATTGAGCAGGGGCAAAAAAATGGACGAAATTATAAAAATATTTCATGTGAATAGTTTCATACGTTGAAAAATCTTTACTTTGATCACTAAGTAGATTACGATCTAATAAGATAAAAATACAGTATGTATGAATATGAATGTTTTTGTGGTTGTACGGTTAAATATGAGGGAGAAAATGTGTATGAGAATTGAAAAGGAATTGAGATACTCTACTTTTTTCAAGGAACGATAACATGTTGACATTCGAAATATTTACAACAAATCGTCTACATGAAGTTTCTAGTATTTATCAAGATAATTGTAGCGGTATGAGGCTGGCGCAACTCTGACAAAAACGCCAAGGGACTACTCGTATAGCGCAAAAATTATCATATCGTCTATTGAATAAATTAGAAAAAACAGGAACCGATAAAGAAAACATTATAAAAGTTATCGGTTTTCGTTAGTTTCAGTATTTTAAGATTGAACAGATCAGAAAATACGGCTATAGATCATTTATTTGTTTTTCATTTGAATTCTTAACTAACTCGTCTTCTTAATCTTTAACCGATGTATAAATATACTATCACTAAATGAAATAACAGAAGCTTTATTGTCGTTGACATAGTAAAAATGGATCAAAAGACAATCTGTACTATCAAAACATTTGATGCGATAATACCGAATACACATTCAGCTCTAATGAAAGGAAAAATTTGTGAACGTATAAGATGGCGCTGTATAATTAGCGTTTATAACTGAAAATTTATAATTGTTTACGGCAGTAAATCCCGCGGCAGTAAATCGACGTTGCGATTCGGGATATCTTTATGTCCTCTTTTAAACTGTGAAGACCACAGCTCTCTATCTTGTTTCAATGAAAAGTTACTCAAAAAGTACTCACTTGGCCTTTGTAATGCGGTGCGAAGCACGGCATTTATGTAGTCCGGCGCGAGTTTTCTTTCTTTGTTCCTTTTTTTAAACTCGACGTCCAGATCATATATTGCTAACTTGTGACGCGATGATCTAGACAACCGAACATCAGAAAAAACTGGTTAAAACGTGAAGTGAAAGAATCGAGATAATAGATGTACCATTTTTTTCAAAAATCTTTATAGCTACTTCCGTTGACTCGCAAATTGATTCCCGAAAAGAGGATTTTGATCAAATTTTATTTTGAGATAATTAAAACGAAAATCAAAACGCTAAAAGTTAGGCACTTTTATATCAACATTTATAAATGGATCCTATTCTAACAAATCAAACATATAAATAATAAAGTAGAGTCCTCTATAACAGATAATATGTACTTGTTTTCAAGATCGATCTCTAAGCTTTCAAAGAGTCTCTATCGATATCTCACTTCAAATGGCTTCGCTGATTCATTTACACTGCAGCATCACTTAATTCTTATTAATCATTATATTAAATTTATCTTTAAAAAAAGATTATCATACATCATCTTTCTCAATTGCTAGCTCTTTTTTCTTAATTCTAGATCCTATTCGTCACGCTCACAACTAAACAAAAAAAGTTCAAATATTATTTTTTTTAAAGTCACTAAACTTTCGACTTTTTAAAGTTTCTTACCTAGAATCGATTAAAATCTTCACTTAACGATAACGAAGATTTAACTCGAAAGAAACTATTTTTTATTATCTCACTTAATCAAGAGATAATATTCGTTCTCACTCAGGAGTTTGAACCCTGTTGAATCTCAATGAGAAACGATTCTGTAAATAATTCAACTCAATTATTTAGTAAAATACTACTACAAGACTGATGGTTCGAAAAAAATCAGCGTTGTCAAAAGTTAAAAAACGAAAAGATTCCTACAGAAAACGTGAGGGCGTGGGTGTGGATTTGCATGTATAGTGTGCATGTGGATGAGCGTTTGGACAGAATAGCACCCACACCTACACCCTTTATTTGCGCAAGCCTCTGTTCTCAATACTGGAACCTGTGCTTCGCACCGCATTTCGTAGTCGGATGAAGCTCGAGTACCATCTAGTTAATTTTGTATTTGATTCTCGTTGAAAATCAATAAAATATATTGAAACAACGTGAAGAAAACTTCATGCTGACTTTTACTTGGACCTGAAACTCTAAGGATCTGATAGGGTGTAAAATGAAAAATCTCTGTGATAGGGTAGGGTAAGGGTACAAAGCCCCTAGGGCAGGGTAGGGCAAGGTTACGAAGTCTATAGGGCAGGGTAGGGCTAGGGTAAGAACGTCGAAGGGCAGGGTAGGACAAGGGTACGAAGTTTTTCGATAGGGCAGGGTTAGGGTACAAAAAAGTCTTAACCTGCAGGACTCTACTGAAAGTTGAAACCTCAGTTGGATTCAAGTTTCAAATATAACACATGTGCTTGATAAAATGAGTAATCGTTTTCATTTTTATTCTTTGAAAAGTTATCTTAGCAAGTAAAAATGCGGCAGGGAATAATACAACATTATCGTTAGAAATGACGCATTGCTTACCACTGATAAGAATGAATAAGTTATTGCACCATTTTTCCAAGCATAACTTGCACATATGGAGCTCTGATGAATACTATAAAAAGATGATAAGCATGCCTTACTCATTTCATTGTGTAAAATAAACGTAAGTGTATCCAATTAAGTAGAAACCCTCATTACAAATAATCAATGAATCGTATGAGACCAGCAGCAATTACACCAAATCCAGCAGTTACGACTAAATCGCCAGCTACCATACTAGACGGTAGAGATTTTGACGTCTCCTCAAGTATTTTGAAAGCAAATATGGAGATGACTTCATCTACAGATGAACATTCGGATGTGCGATTTTTTGATACTGCCCTAAAGTCGGCCTGTGAACAAGGAGACCAATCAGCATCGAAAGCAGCTGATCAAATCGAAGCCGATAAAAACGAGGCACGCCAAATTATTGCCAATCATGCTGTCGATCCACTTGAAATGTTGCACCTTGGTAAGTTAGTCGTTTGTGAAAAGTCGATTGAAATCGTTGTTTGCCGTTCTTTCTGTAAAACAGAGAATATTCATATGATTTCTTTTTTGGATTTTAGTTGACCATTGGATTCAACAATTACTTGGGGAATTTCTGCAAAAGCGTGATCATTTTAAATACAAACTGAAAGAAAAATGGGAAAAACAAGAATTATTTGTGAATCATGAACATAATAATAAAACACGCACAACTTATTTTGTTGTTAAAGGACTACAAGAAGCTTTGAACGGTGTTTTATCACGATCATCATTTGAAGAAACTACTGATTATATTACAAAGCTTGAATGTAAAAATCATAATGTAAATGAACTGAAAGAAAAATTTAATGAATTAAGTGAACAGTATTTTAAAATTATCGATTCATTGGAGTACATTGATCGGGAAACAAAAGGCTATAATATCCATATCAAAAGTCTTAGAGATTCACTAATGACTCTAAAAGCACTGAATGACAAAGTTACGCATACAATATGTATTATTGGTTTGGAAAAGGCTGGTAAATCGACATTTATCAATGCACTTACTGGCTTTGAACTGTTGCCGACAGCAAGTGAGCGTTGCACACAAATACGTACTGTGTTGAAACCACCATTGCAAAATCAATTACAAAGATTTGCGACAATCACGTATTATAATGATCAAGAATTTAAAATTTATTTTGATAAAATGGTAAAGAAAACTGATGAAAGTAATGAACAATTTGAAAGACGAAAACGCGAAGTGATTGAAGAACGTGAAGTTTTGAAAACGAAATTCCCACAAGAACATTTCGATGTTAATGCGTACGATATGAAGTCCAATGAAGCTGAAAAGAAAAGGGTTATTAGTTCATTACATAATTACATTAAAGGCGAATTGTATGTTAATATTATTAAAGAAATTTCAATTTACACGGATAAACTACCAGGTAAGGAAAATGCAATTGTTTTTCTTTGTTAACTACACATGACCGTTACGTTATCGGGGACAACCACGTTTTCAAAAGATAACATTGTTAAAGACAGGAGAATCTAAAAGTATTACCGGGAGTATATTCTGTTTCCAAATGAAAAGCTCGAGGAATCATTCTGTTGTATGTAGTGGCAGGAAAATCCTTGATAGAGAGCAGTGCTCTAAAAAAATGTCAAATTATTTTGTAATTTTTCTTTTCGTAGGTGAAAATTATGAGTTATTGGATGTACCGGGCTTTGATTCACCAATTAAAGAGCACCGTGATGCTGGTCTACGTGCAATTGCTACGGCAGATGCATTCTTATTTCTTAGCAATGGCCAATCACCCAGTCTGACTGACCCACAAATATGTCTCTTGCATGAAATTCAAACACATCATTATGAAGCTATGCAACGTGCCTTTGGTATTTTAACAAAACTGGATTTGTGCTCAACACGAGCAATATATTTGGAGCATTATGAGAAATGCAAAGGTGAATTAATTGATAAACTTTTTAATCCGTCACGTATTTTTGCTGCATGTCCACGACTAGAACTATTAGAAGAGGGTTCTGATGAATATAGAGCGATTGATGGAAAACTCCGACATTTCGATAATTTAAAAAATGGTTTCGAACTAGCTAAAGCCGCATTAAATGCATTTATTGAGTATGAATTACCAAAAACACATTTGAATCAATTGCTTGATTTAGGCAAAACACGATTGTTTCGTTTTGTTAATGAAGCTCTTGAAATAGTGAGACAAAAACAACTATTACCAGAAAATCTAGCTATTATGTCAATTGATGAATATCTCAAAGTGCATAATACTGAACATTGGGATCGATATTACTATGAAGATCGTTTCAAGCCAACATTTGCCAAAGCTAATGAATGGCATTCAACAATAGTAACGAGAGATCGATCAAAATTTATTAATGATACTAAACAGAAATTTCATGATTGCTTTCTTGAGTTGACAAAAGAATTCATGCAGCCCCAACAACGAATCGACAAATTAATGTATGAAGTTTACGGCTACACAAAGCTTATATTGAACGCGCATCCACCTGATAATATCCAACGCGAAAAATTATCATTCGAATTAGAGAGTATTGTTGATAAAACATCAGATCATTTGGCACAACATTTTTATCATAGTTACGTTTGTGAACTAGAAAGTATTCTAAACGAGATATCACCTGAAGAAAAAGATTTGTATCGAACAAAATTATCATTAGAACAGTGTAGATATGAAGTGCATGCGTTGATCTTTCGTATTTGCCGTCCGGTGATTATGGCAGCTCTGAGATATTCACGTTCGGATTTTCATTGTAAAGAAGAAGCTATTAGAGAATTGATATATATTGCACCGATTGTAGCATACAAAATCGTGAATGATAGAACACAAGATAAGCGTGGAGAACTTGCTTTAATGATACCAAATCTAGCTGAACTATTACTTAAAGGTGGAAATGGAACTTGTGAAAGACTGATTCAATCACTTTTTGTAAGAGAAGAATAGTAAATGTGTGTACATATTTTGATATATAGTATTTCTATTCTTTCTTTTCTCTTCTCCTCCCTTTTTTTTGTCGATTTTTCTAGAAACTATTTTTTGCCGTTCAAGTATATCCTACAAAACAAGTGGCACTAAGCCAAAGAATAACCATTTTCATTTTCTTCTCTGATAAAGAACCCTGTGTGGGTTAATAAAGTTTGTTCAAATTAAAACAAAGTAATAAAAAGGAAATAAAGTCTTTGACCAATTGATAAAAACTGTAAGTTTTCTCAAAAGATAGATGAAGTGAATTTCAGATTATTCCAAAAAAAGAGAACAACAGTTTTTCTTTACTAGTCCAACACAAGTAAATCATGATTTCTTTTGATTGTTAAGACAGTAAATATTTCTCATTTCAAATAAATATTACTCATATTCAGTGCTCACAGGCTGACTATTGAGAAAAGCATAAGTTATAAGCAAACTATTTTATCAATCTTAATTTAATTAGAAAATCAAACAAGAGAGGATACTGACGGTCGATGAGAAACCAGTGAAGTTTAGATCAAATGAACAATGAAAAATAAATCAATAAAATATTTTTCCTCTTTTTTAATAGTTGTTTCAATCATTGAGCGTGAAGAGCAAGAAGGAAAAAACTCATTCCGAGCTATTCAAACGGCTCGGAGTGGATAGGAGTGAATGGGAATGGATATAAATGGCTTCAAATTAATCGATATGAATTAGTGCTATGAATTGATTGAAACCATCCACGAACATTGCAATCCATTATAAAGATTATTGTCGCTATTTTCCAACTGCTTTGACTGAAGGGAATCTGCTGAAAGCCGTTATAATCGTTTGGGTGTGGGTGTATGGGCTATTTCATTCACACCTTCGCTCTTGCATTAGTCAAATTATTTTTGTTGTTCCTCATGAAAGCCATTAACATTATTCAAATTTTCATCTTAGCGGAATACGCCTCTAAGAATCATATTCATAGATATTGAAATACAACTTTACCATAGAATCAACATGAAAATACTAATTTGGTTGAAAAATAAATTTCTAAGTAGAATTCCAATTTCGGAACAAAAATAAGGTGATACCATGAAGTACGCAGACGCTTAGCAGTATAATTTAATAACTTATCAATAATCTTGAAGTCTAATACTTCTAGTTAGGCAAGAAGGCTGAGGAAAGCTTCTGAGTATCTAGATGATTCATTTGACTAGAACTCTTCATGAGTAGAACCAATTAATGGTGTTTTATATTTCAATCCTACAGATATAATGCTGTCAGTATTTGATTCATGATGATTGTTTCTTCTCTGTTGAAAACTATGATATACTTACTGATCATCAACGATATACTGAAGAGAATTAACAGATGTAAAGCTCGTTTATTCGCCATATTTAACTGGGGATGTAGAACATGTGTCGTTGCAAATAAAATTTGTGTATGCAGTTTATAAGCAAGATTAGCTTTATATATCAAACTTGAGGGTGTGGGTGTGGGTGTTCTGAACGACAATACACATACCCGCACCCTCAAGGCATCTTTCTAAAGAAAAATTCTTAAATATGGATTGATACTAAATAGTGTCAAAATTGAAACAGTAGATACTAAACAAAAGTTTTTCCTTTACTAACAGTTATATATTTTTTGATGACTTGAATGCTTGCGTTTTTTCAGCTACTTTTAGCGCAGTATAGATCAATTAGTCCATCATCCACAAAAAAATTATTAGTGTGATACAAAAAAAAATTGAAATGTACAGAGTTTTAATGTAATAAAAGATCATGCTTTTGCCTTTTTATCAACATTGTAAAGTGATTGAATGATTGTCTGAAATTGTTTTCGAACATTATTTCGGCGTGTTTTGAGCGTAGTAGTAAGTAGACCATTTTCGAGTGAGAATGACTCAGATTGAATATAAATATTGCTGATTGTTTCAAAATATTTAAACTGATTGTCTTTTGCTAAGCGATTTAAATCATTTAATATGATCTGTTTCAATTTTTCGTCTTTGCAAAGTTCTGAGAATGGCATGGTTGCGTGCGCTGATTCGAAATTTTTTCGTACATACTCTTCATCTGGAATAACAATTGCTACTACTGTTGCTTCTGTGGAAATTCCATCGACGAAAATTTGTGCAATCCATTGAGAACGACTATAAATATTTTCAAGACGTTCTGGGGCAATATATATACCTTGATTCAACTTGAATATATGTTTTGTACGATCTATAATACGTAGCGCTCCATTACTTGTCCATTCGCCAACATCTCCTGTATGTAACCAACCATCTTTATCGATTGCTTCACGGCTTTTTTCTTCATCATTGTAATAACCTAATAGGAAAGAATAAGCGTAGGCATAATTTTCTTGGAAATGAGCTGATTTAGCCAGAAATTAATTGTCGAAGAGAAGATTATCTCACTCATGGAAAAGTCTTTCGAAGTATTGTTTTACTTTTAGTTGTTCAACACCTTCTTTGTCAATTGCGCTAAAATTTCTCTAGTTTTGAAGTAAAACATTCTAATAGGTGAAACTGGCATGTATTGGGAAAGAAAACATCTCTGTTGTAAAAGCGCTTTGATACTTTACTATTTCCTAGTTATGTGTTACACGCTGATGTCGCATGTCACATACCTTTAAAGATGACCGGACCTCGAATACATATTTCTCCTTGATTCATGTCGCTTCGATAACTTGTATTTGGCACATCGATCAATTTAAGTTCGACAGTGACAACAGGTGAGCCAACTGTGTCAGAAGACATATCCACCGGGTGGGTAAGATTGGCACAAGCTGTCGACTCTGTTTGTCCATATCCGGTCATGATCGGTGTATCGAGTGCAATACGGAAAAAATGCAAAACATCCGATGTAATAGGTGCCGATCCAACAAATATCGCTTTTACTTCACCACCGAATAATTTTTTTACTTTACGAAAAACCAAGCGAGATAACCACCACGCGTCTTCCCTGTTTAATGCTTTTTGAACAAGGTAATATTTTAATTTACTTTTAGTAACTTCAGCCATGACCTTATCGTAAACTTTGTAGAGAATGCGAGGTACAAGTGTAAGTTTAGTGGGTTTTACAATAGACATATACTCAACAATTTTGTCTGTTGATGGACAAAATACCACTTGTCTACCGCGTAGAAAGAGTCCCAGAAGAATAAATTGCTCGAATATGTGAGCCATAGGTAATATTGAACAATGCCGCTTTGCAACGACTTCATTTATGTTAGCCTGTTCTACACGAAGAAGATTTCCTTTCGATGCTGCCAAATGATTTTCATGTGATAGCATTACAATTTTAGGGTCACCTAAAAGCAAATAATAAATTATTTTTGTCCACGTTCAGATAAATTCAATGAAAATCATGTTTTCAGTGAGATTATATAAATAATTTAAGTTTGCAAAAATTCGAGATAGTAGTATTCATTGTAATAACTGCCAGAAACACTAACTAGTTAAACTCAGCATGCTTTTCATACGATGCTTATTTGATCTTACCTGTTGTTCCACTTGTCATAATGAATGTTGCAATACTTTCTGGGTCGATGGTCGGTCTTTCACGTATATCATATTTTGTGATCGTTTTTAAGATTGATGAGATGCTTCGTATTTTATCATGTTTGTTGCAGTCTATATCATCCATCACAATGATCTGTTTAATTTGTTCATTTTTTAATAGCTCATCTTCAAATGATTTAATACGTTCGATGTTTTCCACAACAAGTACGTCGGTTTTAGTTCGATCAAGTAGACTCATAATAGTCGCAGAATCATAGCTGGTATAGAGATTTACCAGAGTAAATCCATACATAGAGCATCCCTGTTGAACGAATAGATATTCAGGTCGATTCGCTGAAACAATGGCTACTCTTGACTTCATTGGTGTCAGTTTTCCAACTGTCCATAAATATGAACCGATGATACGACTGCGTTCAATTACTGTCGAATAGGACAGCCATTTTATTGGTTCTGTGCTGTTCAATGGTTGTACAATACCTACACAAGGACCATCGTTTGAAGTAGCACAACCTTCATATAAAGCGTCACCGAGTGTTCGTGCATTTGGACAAATTGTTTTATACAATGTCCAAATGTCATGATTTTTGTACAATGTACATCGTCGAGTATGTTCAATGGGATCGGTTTCATATGATTGGTGTTTCAAATCGATCCCATCATCATGTAATTTTTGGATGCGTGTTTGATAATTGCGTGAGTGCTCAAACAGAACTGTAAATCGTCGAAACACTGGTATAATATAGACAGGTCTTGATTTTGAAAGTAAACACAGCATCCGCGTTTTTGCTGCTCGAACCTTCCAATGCAATCTATAAAATACACTGTAAATCAAACTAACATCAAAATTGAACCTTCAAATTATGAATGTCCAATGTATTTTTATGCAAGGATGCGTATGAGATCAGAAGAGAGAATAGTCAACGTCACAGAAATGGTTAATAATATGTAGTTATAATAGAAAGAATACTAAAGCATATATGATAAGGACAGACGACAGGAGAACGTTAAATATCATGCACGAGTAGTCAATTCAATCAAGCAAAGAGAGTAGATAGTAGTATTCAATAAGCCCCACTGGTACGTAAACTATCATTTCACAAACAGTTATTAATATCAGACTTTGATTCTCAAAAGGCTTAGTCAGATTTTAGACTTCAAAAATATTTCAAACGATAATTTTTGCTATACTAGAACACCTATAGTAGTGTACATACATTTGATACAAAAACAAGATTAAGATGATTAGTTATAAGATTATCGTCATCACGCTATGAAAATTGTAGTACGATCGATCATTAGTAAATGTTTCTCTTGATTGTTGACTGGAGTTATTAAAAAATCTTGCGAAGCTTTTCCGATTCTGCAATAAATCGAACTATTTGATTCTCTTGAATATATGCATCGCGTGTCAAAAAATTTAACTTTTCTGTTCGAATTAAGATTCCAAATGTGATGTTCATAAAGCTTGCAATTTCTGTTAACAACCATTGACTTACTGCTGAATGCCATCAATGGAGTTTTTTTGAATATTGTATAAACATAGCGAGTAGTACAGATAGGTTGAAATAGTAAAAATCTAAGCTCTCTATTTATTGTGTATACAAAACGACTCCAAAAATACTTACTCGCATTTCTTTCTTTTCTAGGGCAATAATTTTGAAAGAAAAAAAAATACAAAACATGTGCATCTCTTTGCAAAACAGAACAACAAGAAAAGAAGAATATGCTGCCAGCTTGATCGTTTGCTAGTTGTAGACGTATTTTTTCTACAAGGTCGTCCTTGGCTCAACGAAGGCTATAGACAGAAAGAAATAAAAGCGCTACGTGTGTACGCGATGCGTTGTACTACTATTCTTTTACGATATTACGCACTCGCGGTGAATCATCGAAAAAATACTACATGATATTTATTGGCTGATAATAATCATGCAACAATGGGAAGGCATTTTGTCGATTTTTTCAAGAAGTTCCAAAGAAAAAAGTCATAGAAAAATTCAAACATTCGAAATATTTATTTGTAACACTCTTTCTCAAGAAGCTTGCCATTGCAATTCATATGAACATTGTCAACAATGAGTATCAGAAAAACAAAAGAATAACGCATAAACATGTCGATGATATATAATATTATTGTTGTATTCATTTTATTTACTGCTATCGACTATGCTATTTGAGACGATCAATGATAATTGTTACTGTTGTACGTCCATTTTTCTGTAATCATTGATGGTTCTGATGATAGAAAAAAAATCCTTTCGAGATATATTCACCATAGATTGATTCAACAGTAGCGTTACGTTGGAATAAATCATTTTGGTTTTTTGATAACAGCTATTTGTTGCTGTGTGCCATCAGTATTTCGTGATAATATCGTATAAGTTGGATGAATATGAAAGAGTGCTCGACGAATTTTGAGAAGTTTTCTTCAAAAGATAATAAGAAAAGTTATTTCTTAGCAATTCACGTTGCCTGTTCGAATTATTTTAGTAGTGATAATTTTTCCAACAATAGTTCGTCAAAAGCGGCGTGTACTAACGCGCACCTGACACCACTAGAGAAAAACCTAAATACCGTGAGTATGCTATGTATAGCTTTGCTCTGTCGTTTATTTCATCCCTAGTTTGTCCATTTACTTGCGATTTTAAAAGCTCTACTTGCTGGAGGCACTCACGAAAAATAAATGTTATGTCGTTTTAATTGTAGACACCCCCCCCCCCCCCCAAGTTATTCCTTTAGCTCTTTTAATCCTTTCCGTCTGTCTGAAACAAATGACAAGGCGTAAATATTTGAATGCTTTAAAATCCTCCAACAGAATATCCTGAGTACCTAAAAATATAATATTCAATACCTCTTCACGTACGGTATAAAATTATATTCCTATGCTCGATATCTTGATCTCAACGAATACGAAACCGAAAAGATACAAAAATTAATATGATGTAAACGGACTATGTACGCTAAAATATTCTAGCATATTTTGCTGTATATTTTTGCATAAAATTACAACGATATAGAATTATTTTTTCATGGACCTACGGAAATCCATCATGCTGTGCTAATTTTCCAAAACAATTGTTTAAAATCTGAACCATTCTTACTAAGATATCTGCATCTTTTGACAAGGTTTCAATGACACTCAAATACCTAGTGTATTGTAGTCGCTGTAACAAATCCAGAGCGTCGCTCTAAAGTGGTGCTAATGTGAATTCTATAGCGAATACCGATACTGCATACCGAGTGTGATACCTAATACCTGCTATTTGATACGTGGCACTTGATAATATCATACAAGCCTGGAGGCAAGAAATCCCACTTAAAATTGATGCTTTTTTGTTAACTTTGATAACCGCAACCATCGACCTGAGTGGTCAAAATTTCTTCTCAATCGAACACTAAAATTATTCACAACGGACTGTATTAATAGAATGTTACAATAGTATAAGTCGTGTTTGCTAGTATTTTCATCGTTATTTCTTTCTTTGCCAAGGGAGATCTACGTAAAAGCTTCAATACTAATCTATTAAACAGTTCTATATCCAATTCTTCAGGTATAACTTAGAGTTCAGATAATGAAGTGGTTCACAGAAATGTGTATTAAAGTAGCCTTGGCTTTCTGCATGGATCATAGTTAGACGAAAATATACTGCTTGTATATGGATACTAAAATTGTCCGTAGTTCGTGCGCAATGATTTAGCTTATGGAAAAAGTCAAAAACCTATTGGCGAGAACGAAGCTACTGAGTTTCAAATATTCCTAGCTTTTCTTTGAGATCAAGCATATGTAGGACGTATCCATGTTCTGTGATTTTGAATTATACTCAAATTGACAACGAAGGACATGCGTAGTGTTATGTTTGTGTGCAAACATTTCTAGTGGGAAAAGTAATTTGATCAGAGTATCGAGAAAAAACCGATGACGCTTCGAATTACTTTGACTCTTCTTTGTTAAAAATATTGTATGAAAAGCATCAATTACTTGGTTAGAGCAAAAATCGACCTTCGAAATTAATTATGGAACTAAAAAAGAGTAGAAAAAAATGACAAAAATGAAATATTTATTATTCAACGAAGAGAAATCACGAAAGGAGACTCAGAATGAGTGTATTTAGAAGCCCACAATACGTTTTGACTTTTCTCAAGGTTCTCATTAGTTGATTCATGTTGTCTGTTGGGTCTGATATTTAGAAAAGTCGAATAATAGAAAACCCATTCTATGGAAATAAGATAGTAAGTGAGCACATATTCTCAAAACCAAATCTTGTTTGTTCAGAATTTGATTACTGGAATTTCATCAGTGCGTCTCTGCACTTGCGCGTTATTTAGAGAGTCGTAGTCATATATTCGTATACTACTTCAGATGACAGTAATTACTAGTTTATTACAATCTCACGCAGAATGAGCCACAACATTTCAAGTTTGTGAAATAGAATCTGTGCTGTTATTCAGTAAAAAGAACTCGAAAGAATCGTTCATGTTAAAAATAAGAGTGACTGCAAGCACTAAATATTACTAAAGACACAGAGTACTCCGCTTTGCCAATATTGACTTCAAAAGTAATGAAGAAAAGGCAAAAAGAAAAACACGAAAAATTCGTCAATTACTATACATCGCTATTTTAAAAACTTATTTCGAATATTTCATCCCGGGATTCATTTTATATAAAACTATCAACACATATAGGACAGTCTTTTTCCCGTCAGGATCAATCTGTAGTTATTATATTCTCGATTTCATTGAAAAGTCGCACTGTAGAGAACGGAGTAGCTAATGAAACCCGTATAGTAGATATGAACAGCAAGCTATAGGAATGCCGTAAGCACATGCTTTTTTTATCCTGTTCAACTTGTGTTCTCATGTTACATTGTTCAAGTGAAAGTGTGACTTTCATTAGCTGATTTTTAGAATAGAAATGTGCTCGAATCCAGTCATGATTTGTGAAGAAGAGAATGCTAAAAACTCAAATTCAAATATTACATATCGACCTCTAGGAGACGACTCGAGATATGTTGTGCGTTATATTTCATCGTCATTCGTCAGAATACAACAACTGAAAACTGACTTTAATGCACAACATCAGCACGAAAAAGGCGCACTTATTGAATTGAACGACAAACTTCGTTTGATGGTTGATTGCGCTCAACAGTTAGAATCACAAAATTCAAAATACATCACACAGTTGGCTGATTTACGACGATCATTGCTTGCCAGTGCTAATAGTAAAGAAAATGATCAACATAGCCGCCTACAAGCTGATATTATGCAAGTTCATCATGATAAAGTTGCTTACGAATCGGAAATCGAAATTTTCCAATTGCAAGGTCATATATATCAGCAAATGATCCAGGTTCAAGAGCAATTGATTGGTGAAGATCGATTGAAATTAGAAAGAGTATTGAATCAATCTGCTTCTACTCTGGCGGAATTACGTGCATCATGTGTTGAATGGGAAAAAAACATTGGAAGTTTTCGTGCAACTCGTGAAGATACATTTCAAAAATATATGGCGCTTGCCAAAGATTGGTGTCTTATGAAGAAACGAACAAATGAATATAAGATCAGCCTAGAAATGATGAAAATTAAAATTCAATTTTCCAAAACTTCAAATGCGTATGTACTACTATATGAGTATACTTTTCTAGTCGTATAGAGAAAACTTTTCCTTTTAATTCTAGTAAAGTCGATTTATCTTCAATGGATATGTCTGATTTTGCTGGATACTGGAAGCTTGAATGGGAACAAATTGTCCAGAAAATACGTCATGATTTTGAAATCTTGTATGGAGCAATTCACCAAGAAACGGTTTGCTATTATGAAAAAAAAAGCGCGGAATTACAAGGCGAACTAGAACAAATAGTAGACTATCAAAAAGTTGACGTGGTAAAACATGTAGAAACTGTCGAAAAAATACAGACTGAGTATCAAGAAGTACAGAAGACATATTCCCACGAAAGCGCAATTCTACTAAAATCAGAAGCATTATTCTGTGAGTAAAATATCATGTACCTCATCTTCTATTAGTTCTTTGATTAAAGCTAAATTAGAATCTGAATGGAAAGCCATCCAAATTCAAAATCAAGAGAAACTCGATGTACAATCAAATGATCTAGGTTATCTACATGAAAATATCATGATGATGGTGAGCAGTATCGAAGAAATGCAACGAAGGTTAGAAAAGTTGCTCCTAGTTGTAAAAGAGAACTCAATTTACTTTTTTGCTCAATATTTTTAGCAAAATCTGCTTAGAAAGTGAAATTATCATCTATCGTCATATACTGGGCAAGAGTGACATATGTCAAATCGCTGAGACTACACTGGCAAAAGGCAGAAAATTCGTTGTACAATACGAATGTCATGGATCGATCAGTATGGGTAAGAGTAAAATTTGAAGTAGAGAGAATGAAATCGTCTAATCAATATTTTGACTCTGTTTTCTTGTGACAACAGAATGTCCTCTCGATGGCACACACATCAGTTTGACGAATCAATCTGCCAATGCAGTTATTGATATTTCTAGATGGCAGTTGATACGACATGTTGACTCAAAGAATGTCCTTCAGTATAGACTACCTGCTGGCCTTCGACTTAAACCAGGTAGTGAATTAAGACTCTATTCGAAGTTAGGCACTGAAGTTACTCAAGTGTCATCAAATGGTAGTACTTTTTCGCCATCGTCATTCCAGAAGATTGTCTTAGATGATGTATATTCGATAGGTAAGTGTGTTTGTATTCAAGTTAGTCTACTGATTATTTTATTTTATCATTGGCTAGGTGTTGGTGACAGAATCGAAACATTGCTACTTAATGAAAATGGTGAAGAAAAAGCATCGTGTGTACAATCGGTGGCAGCTACTGGAGTAATAGTAAATGAGAACAGTAGAACCAAATTATTTTAATGAACAAATAAATTGACAGTTTCTATTGAATTGGGCTGCTGACCTCTTGAAATATCTTACTTTAGCAATATTTATATTATTATATAACACTGAATAAATAAATATGAAAAAGAAATTTTGAGTGTACATCTTTCATTATTCAATGGATCTATTCGAAAGTGTTATTGGCTATATTTTACTATGCTTCTGGAAGAATTCACTATAAATCTTATTCTTAATATTACTTCTTCTCCGTATAAAAGAGCAGCTATCGAGCAGAGTATAAGCGTCAAAGCTAATCGACATGAGTTGTGCACATAAGCTTCCGAAGTCCACGAGATAGATGAAGAAACAAATCCATACTGATACTCACATTGCTGTCTATACACTTCATGCTTGCACACAAACTAGATCTAACCGAAAAGTGGTTGTTAAAAAAACGAAAACTACGAAGGTATCTTATTCAGTTTTGAATATAACTCTCAGAAATAAATCTATACCCTCTAGTTTTCTACTCTTCCATCTTCATTTATGTTGGCTTTTGTTAATTGATTGAATTTGTTGTTCACAACACTAGTTAGCATTTCAATGTTACCAACAGCAACGTTCACTCTCATAGCCTCGACTTAGATCAAAAATCTACAAGATACAACAATGAACTTTAATATAACATATAATTGTAAACGATTTCTGCAATAAAAAACGGACTTTAACAGGATTCAATGGAACAATATTCACTGATAACTCATTGATCACGCTGCACGTGCCCATCAGGATTACCCAGGAGAATCATTCCGACAAGGGTCAGACAGTGAATATACCGAATACCATATGCGTTTCAATAAAACCGACAAAATCTTATGGGATTCCTGGACATGGACCTACAGTCGGACCCTTGGTATTGGATCCAATATCGGATTTTAACAGAATCCAACTCTAACGAATCATCCTTGCGCTCTGATGTCTCAAAATGCTTATTTGGTCGTGAATAAGAAAATGATTTTATCTTTTTGTTTCTCTGCTTGAGATAGAATTATAAGTTAAAATGGAAAGATAGCAATGACCTTGAAATTTCATATTCTATTTCCACATAGAGAGAGAGCAAGACAACAATATTGATTCGATTAGTGAGATCAAATTTATATATCTTCTCTCGTTTTGTTAAACAGACATACACACGCACCTTAGTTACAAAGCCAAAACATGTTTCTCCCAACTCTTACTCTATTAATTCTCTTATATTTCCCTTCCAACGTTTTAACAGCAACCACTAAAGCTACGACTACAACGACGGTATCATCTGAAAAGCTCTTTTGTTCTACCTGCTCTTATGAATACACATTTAAAGAACTACGAAATCAATCGACTTGGCTATCCCCTTGGTCTCGTTGTGAAAATCAGACATCATCCACTTCTAAATTTGGTGCAACAGCCTGTCATACACTTCTTCGCATTGATTATGCTCGTCAATACGTCACAATCTACTACAATGCCTCCTACCGATCAGTGAAAAAATTGGCTGATGATGACCGTCGCGTTGTCTTCGAGACCATTATGAGTACAAATGGTAGTCGTGCGCAATTCAAAGCATTCTATGAATGTTCATTTGAAGATAATTGTCACCTACCATTAGATCACTTTCTTCAACTTCGAGGGGCCTTGACTTTTGCAAATTACAATCACACAAACTTAATCAGACGACTTAATCAATTTTATAGCAAACCAAAAGTGGAAGTTTCTAGCTATTTTCATGCTGATACATTGACGAATACCTTGAATGCATACTGTGGTGAAATGGGTCAGTTTGATAAAGAAAGTTTGAAAACAGTGCAACCAAAGTGTTTGAAGAAGAAAGATAAATTAAAATCGAAGTTCACGGAATTCGATAAACATATAAAAGCAACGGTATACACATGCAATGGCCCTGAAAACAAATATTGCAATAATGATAAGAAACTAAAAGAATTTTTACATGGAGTTACATTAACGGATTATATTCAAAAATTTTTTGGATGGCAACACGTAATACAAAAAAACTAACGTGTGCTGTAGCTTACATGGAATTTTTGAAGAAATAAAAGATGAAAAAAACGTATATTTTGAAATTTTGAACTATTTCTCCTCCAACTTAGCCTTTATAGCGTTTGTATTTGTCATCTAGTTCTACAATATAAATTGATAGAAAGTTTATCAGAGCATTTACACCATTGGTCGGAGTTTATGCAAGGATGTGTGAATCTCCCATATCCTTATTTGACATATGTGCTTTTTTATGATCATTACGTTCAATAAATATAGACAATGGAATGAGACTATTCGTATTATGTTTTGAGAGAATTTCTCCTCGACAGTGGTTTGCACAAAGATTTAATATTCTAAAAAAATTAAAATGGTAAACCATTAACTTGTAGATTTTATCAATCAGAACTGAATGACTATATAAAAGTATATCTTGTCACTAATGTCAAAGATCGATGAAGATGGCGGTAGATTATATGTGAAATATAAGTGTTTTTGCTTAAGAAAAAAGTAAGAGGATAAAAGTCATATCTTTCTAATTGATTTCGTTCTTCTCTCTCTCACTCTATGCATGAAAGAGAATATTTAATCTTAAATTTATTGCTATCTTCCTTTTCTAACAAATCAATTCATATGAAGTAAAAAAAGAAATACAAAACAATATTGTAGACACCATGTATTCATTACGAGTTTCAAAAATTTTCTCGAGAAATTAGCATGAAGAATGTAATCAAATCAGTATCCACTTGTCGATATATACGTACAAATAATCCCTGAAAATTTTGTAGGTAGCATTTTCAGGTAATCCGTCGAAAATGCACATTGAACAGATGTCGATTATTTCAATATTGTTTTAAATTGAAAAGTTTCCTTTTTTCTATCTGCTATTGTTTTGCCATGACATTTTCTATGGTAGGAAATGTTTCCGTAATTATACATGATATTCCTTATAGTAGATTAGTTATTTTGAATATTGAAATAAAGATTGATAAACTCTGGGTTGTCAGGTGGATCTTCAAAAAATATAAATGACCTGGTCCTCTGTCTAGTATTTACGTAACAGAAATTATTTGATGAATCTTTAGTTCAGTGAACGAAAACACTCATGTATGCGTTGCACAGTAATGATTCGTTAGCTCTAGCCAAAGAAATGTGGAACTTCGATGTTAAGAAATTATCAGCGAAGTTTTCAGTCCAGTGATGAGATCACATGAAGTCGAAGAATCGAGAAAACTGTCTACCGATTCTAGAAAGTGGAGACATGAGAATGGTTTATTGTTTCAGTGTGTTTGTAGAAAATAGGAATGCAATAACACCAATACTGGATTGAGGTATTGTTATTGTCACATCCATAATTTTGATCATTCTTGTGTATCCTAAAATGAATATATATAACTATCTGATGCCTACAATTATCAAGACTATCTTATCATCTGTGAACTACCTATGATTTATTTTCTTACATTAAAAGTCAGATTTTTAACACAAAACGACGTCACTTCATATTTTTGAATTTCCATTAGATTGAATAGATCGATTGAGAGTTTGTCCACGACGAATCCGATTGAGAGGACGACTGATGTAAGGTAACCAAAATACGAATTTTAACAATACAGTCAAGACTGGAAAGTAAAGACAAAGTAAGTCAAGATTATAGAATGCTTTGTTCACTCCCACTGTTATCCAACGAGGCAAAGCCATTGAAATGACATATCCGATCGCAAGCATCAATGTGAAGGTGCCACGTTTTGATTGAATAAAGCGCCACTCTCGTCAATTCAACAGGTTACCAACGGCAGGAATACTCGCAACAGCTAGAATAGACATACATAATTATGTTAAAAAGCCTAGTAGTGAAGCTAATTTGCCTTTTCCAGTCATGAGACCATTCTCTCCGATAAATCGCGTTTGACTGTTATCATTGAAACTATAGGCTAATTGAAATATGCATGCAAGATTCGATGGCATGTAGACAATGGCTAACATGGCTATCGCACTTATACATAAAATTTTATTAACTATATTTAAAAAGAGTTGGTTCCATGAAGCTGTACGTGTACTAACGAATTCCATACAGAGCGTGTAAATGAGCCAGATAGATACAACGACAAGCATGATAATGAGTGGGATGTGTCATTCTGGAAATAGAGATTGATTATCACGTTCCAGTTGATGTGCTGCTTGAAGAGAACCCATATCGAACGGATTGATCTGCATTGGAAGGCTCATTCAGATTTAGTTTTTTGCGTGTTTGATTTGATAGGTCAACCAAAATTTTCTCATTCAGTAACGATGGATCGCGTTCAAGATGTGATACAAGTGAATCAATATAGTGTTCTGGATGAATGGCAATGAAGATAATAGTCGAACGGCGAATACATTCGTCTATAGAGACTATTTCAAATTCTGTTTCTTTTCGTTTGTCTGGATAGCGGCTGCCCATTACTACAGTAAATCCGCTCAACAATAAACGATGAGCAAGTGCAAAACCCATGCTACCACAACCAACTATACTGATACATCGATTATCACGCATTATCATCATTCGAATGAGATTTACTGTATTTTATCTGTTAAGAACAGGCCGATTTTGTAATCGTTTACATATATTTTTTGATTTACAGCCGAAGAGCAGAAAGAGAAATGTCGAAATGTAAATAGAGAAAACATTCCAAGTAAGAGTACGTGATTTCTATATTATTTGGGATGTACAATAGTAAATTGACGTTTGAGGTAAACATAAAACACACCAAAACAAAAAATGATACTCAAATTAATTTGTTCAAATCGAAATCTTTCCTTTCGTTTAATTGAACGAATTAAAAGTAGTCAAATATACAGTATCAAAGAACCCGTTGGTGTCCGCTTGATAACTTTGTCCAGCGTGTAGATCAGTTGTACTTGCGATTTTTCTTTTCGCTTACATTTGCGTATTAGATAGGCTAAAATTCTTCACAAATATTTCTATGACATGCCGCATACACCATGATGCGTACTTGCACAATCTGTAGCAATTCTTCACACGTGGTTGAAATCATTTTTATTACGAATATTACTTTGATTCGAACAAAATGGTGACAGTATTCGAGTATTTACCGGACGAAATTCTACTCTTAGTTTGTCTTCAACTTCATCCGTTCGATTTAGTTCATGCGTTTGGACACCTCAATGCTCGTTTCGATACTCTTCTATGTGATTATCGTCTATTTCGACATATCAATATCGATTCAAATAAAATTGCTTCGAATTACACAAAGTATATTATTATTTACGGTAGGCGAGGTACCGCTCAAACACTTAGAGCAACTGTGAAGTGTCACTGGTTGGATTTATCACATTTTATCAATCTTCGCAAGCTTATACTATGTAGACCGCCACGAGAACAGCAAAATCAATTGAGAACAATAATAGCGACAACGCAAAATCTTCGTCAACTGAGACAACTAACATTTATCAAATTCGATGATGAGGAATACATTTCTCGAAGTATTATGGCTGGAAGATTTCCTAATCTAATTCAATGTCAGTTACAGAGATGGCACGATGAACAAGTAATACTAAAAAAAACGTTATCCTTAAAATGATTAGAAATATAGTAGTTTGATTTTTGTCCTGAATGTATTGTTTCACACTATCACTAGAACAAACAAGTTGAATATAGCGAAATCCGATTGTTTGGCTAATATTAATATGAAATACTTTACTACACTGCCAGTATACTTGAAACAAATCTTAGAATAGACAGGCGCCAAACGATTCCTAGTTCTTACTTGCAGAGTATATGAAATAAAAATTACCTTTCAATAGTGGAACGCTTGAAAATTTAAAGTTCGATTTGATCCATCTAAGTAGTAACAGTAAACATCTAAATATTTTTATCGGTTTCATTTTCAGGACTTTACCTGCGCACGACTTCAATGTGAAAATCTTCAATCGCTGACACTCAATATTTTATCAAGCCTTAACATAGCAATGAACATTCTTAGTAGTTTACCTAACTTAGTTATCTTTCGTGTTAACAGCTTTCTTGTGTCCCATACAAACGCTAATACTGGTATTGTTTCCTCTCGGCATCATCAGCTCAAACATTTCTATATTTCATTATCAAACTGGAATGGATTTGGATACTTTGGAGACTATTGCAGAATATTCGATTGTCTTTTGCCTCTCGCGCCAAAATTAACAACCCTCTCCGTCTATTTAAAGATGATGTGCAGTTCGATGAATAGAGATTCAGCTATCGGTGTTCAACTATTGCTGACAGCGATTGCCGAACATCTACCAGCTGATCGTTGCTTTGATTGTAGTCTTCCATGTCAAGTAGCAGAAAGAAAACAGCCAGGGTTCTCTTCATCTAGATCATATTGGCATCAACAAGCTAGAAATTTCATATCAAGGATAACTAGAATACAATCTGGACTCACGAAAAAACACTCCACATTTGCCGATCTCGAATCTCGTCGTATAAGCGAGCAATATGTGAAAGTGTATATGAAAGCGCATATCTTGAGGTTAGGAGTGCGCATGTAGTTGTTGTTTATATTTACTGAAGTATGCACTCATACAGATTTATCAAGGAAAAAATTCGCTGATTTTATTATTTTACTCAAATGGAAATCCATTTTGACTCAAAAGAAAACATTTGTAACAGGGCTCCTAATGGGATGGGATGAATTCCTAATCCCATGGGAAATGTGATTATTTTTTTAAAGAAAAATTATTGTTCATTTATGTCACAATTGACAATAGGTGAAAAGTGTGAATATTATCATTCTTTTCCTGTACTGGTCATTAACCCAACTGCGAGCTCTATTCGAACAATTGAATAAAGAATACGATAAAAGATAGAAAACAGAAATAAACATAAATGTTCTTTTTGTTTGAATGTTTTAATAAAATATCATCATCTTTTGTTTTATACATTGTTCAATATCATCTTCTATAATTATTTCTTCCTCATTATCGTCCTTAGTTTCGAATAAACAGGAATATTCAATTGAGAAAGTCAAATTTCGTTTACAACATCACAAGCAGAATTAAAAGGTATTGATAATGATATTCCAACCAGGAATGCACCAATTTCTAGTACATGGTACGATAGATAAAAGTTTTGCCTAATGTAGGAGGCAGTCGTCCTCTGATTCCGTTCCGTATATCAGCCAAAATCATCTTTTTCGATCTATGAAAAACTATGATCCAAATTTATTAAAGATGAAAAAGCGTTTTAGGATTTGGCTCCCAATTCCAATTTTCAAGTCGTTTTCCGTCAAATTCTGCCAAATTCAACCTACAAATTCTAAGAATAGATTTGAAAAAGCGTTCAAAACTGAACAGAAAAATATGAAGAAAGAGATGTTCAATCGATAATTCTCACTACCGGGCACATCATTTTTAGGTAGGGAAAAGATCCAATCCCGTCAATTTCTTGAATTTTTTATCCAATGTTTACATGTTCTCAGCATTGGGAGTTATGGATTAAGCCTCTTTTTACGTATTTTTTTTTCTGTTCAGTTTTGAACGTTCTTTTCAAATCTATTCTTAGAATTTGTGTAATGCAAACTGCAAGTCTGAAACTGAATTAGATTTGACCGAAAACGACTTGAAAATTCAAAATCTGAGTCAAATCCGAAAAGTTTTTTTATTCTTTCATAACTCTCGGCTATCGTTTTACATAGAGCAAAAAAATGGCCTTGACTGATATATGGAATCAGAGGACCGCTCCACTCTACATCAGGCAAAAATGTCATCTTTCTTGCAATATACTAGGAATTGGTGCATCCCTAATTCCAATATTCAATCGGAATGCTGGAAAACTTCGAATTTCCAGCTACAAAAAAAATAAACCTTGATTTTCAGTAAGATTTTTCGTAAATATAGCGAATCCCATGGGAGCCCATGGGATGGGATGGGACGACTTGCATTATCCCACGGGACGAAAATTTTTTCCCATCCCATCCCAGTAAGAGCCCTGATTTGTAACTATCAAATCGGATTCTTTTCATATAAATTGAAGTTTACTATGAGATATGAAGAATTCCTAACGTAAGGAACGAATAAATTTCCTCGAGTATTCCATCTGTAGAAGTCGACCTTTTATGGAAACTTCAAGACTATTTTTCTCTTTCTATTAATTAAATTTTTAATTTATTTCACTTGGATTAAATTATTTAGCAATCAAAATATCTGCTGATGAATATATACGAGTTTCATAGTTTCAAAGATTCCTAGCCAACATTACCTCGTTAGCCTTGATGATTTGTTTCTGTTTCAATAAATAACACAAACGGGATCAACAAAATTAACGTTGCATTTTTATTCATTTGATCATGATTTCGACTGTTTCGACCACTGAAAAGCAAAATTTAAGATTAACAGATTGAAAATAACCTCTGCACCATCTAAATTTATTTTATTTTAGTTCATTTTAACAGTAGCAACTCGGCAAAGAATAAATTTCGATTTGTTGCATGTTTATTTATTTATAAATTTTATTTTTCAATGAAAATGATCGTATTCAATAGGTACAGAAAGCAGAAAAAAGGAATAAATTGTTATTTTTTTCTTGCATATATAACAAGATGAAGTAAGAAAATATTAGAAAAAAGGGCATGTTCGGTTTTCTCACAATATATAATTTTCACTAATCAGAGAAAAACCAAAACATATAAAGGAATCGTTTTATATTAAGAAACAATTTATGGTTGTTGACTAAAAAATAAGACCCAATTGAATACTTTCGATATAACGTTGATCCGACAACAAAAATTTTTATGAATATTTGTAACTCGACGAAGCAATAGAAGATATTTGATTATTCATCAAGTAGCACCCGTCGTTGAAGTAGGTGGTTTCAATAGATGTGATATCGGGTCATAACGAAGAATCATATCATGAGCTTCTGGATGAAGACGACGATATTCATTTTTAGCATTTTGATATGCTTGTACCATTTCTTCATAATGAATCTTTTCACTTTGATTGGATAATGTACATCTTAGCGGGGCAAAAGAGATATTTTTTTCAATTTAAATTTACAATAAAATATATACCTTTCATTATTTGTAAAATGATCATAGCCATTGATTGTTTCTCGACACACATAACATATAAACAAGCCACACGATGAACAAGTCATTTTATTACAACCTTCAACTTTATAAAAACGCTAAAATTGAAAAAGTAGAACGGAAAATGTTTTTTCGAGAATAAGAAATAAATTTTGTTCATACTTGTGTACATCGAGGACATTTTCTTATCATTGCTTCTGTTACATGTTCTTCGATAAATTTACGCATTTCAAGTTCTATTCCTTTTTCGACTTCATCACATCGTAACGGAATATGATTAGGCTCTTTACATAATCTAAATTATGCAGCAGTAAATAAAAAAATAGTTAAATGAATTTGTTTTTCATTACCTGCATGTTTCTTTCATACATTCAGGATTTAGACAACGAAATATTTTATCGTCGGGATTATCAACAATAACAGCGTATGGGCAATATGGACAACATTCAAGGCCATCAATAGCAGCTAAAACAAAAAGAATACACTTTAAGTACATAATAAAATAGTCAAGCGAAAGGACGGGGGCGCATAAGGTGCCAGTTTTGGACCATCGTCTGTTTGTCTTACGTAGAACGAACACATATATAGTATGTTCCCTAATGAGATATTTCGAATCGAAAATTGTATCAAATAACTACCCATTCAATCTTTGGTGAGAATTTCAGTCCGAACGGTTGAAACGTTACTGTGTAGTAATAAAAAATCTATCAAGATTAGTATAAAAATTATAAAAGATTCCAATCGACAAACGTACTACTTTCGTAATATCTCAACAAAGGAAGAAAATAAAATGTGGTTTTGATTGTCTTTACAAGATTGAGCAAAGCGCTACAAAATCTGATGCTTTTGAATTTTTTCAGAAGTGGCCTTCATAAAATAAAATAGCATAACTTTATCTCGGATAAGGGTTTTTGTATTTTCCTCAGATTTCTTGTCTATTTTAATCGGAAACAAGTAGAATTTGATAGAAAACAAATAACGTATTTGGAATCAGCGCAAAAGACTGAGTTGGTTGATGCGTATTTCAGCCTTCTTCAATGAAATATATTTTTCTCGAAAAATTAGTCTGGAGTCCCCCACACGGTTCATTGAAAAGATTAATTTAATCAAAACACACTTTCGATCCATCAGATATGTATTTTTGTGCGGTGGTAGTGTTTTACACACTTTGAGATTGTATTCACTTGATAAAACCCTATTTTGAGTAAATTACATTTTTCAATGAGTAGTGTGGGGAATTCCAGGCTAATTTTTCGAGAAAAAAATATTTCATTGAAAAAGGCTGAAATACGCATCAACCGACTAAACGTTTTACGCTGATTCCAAATACGTTATTTGTTTTCTATCAAATTGTACTTTTTCCGATTAAAATAGACGAGAAATCTGGGGAAAATGCAAAAAACGGTATTCGATTGAAAGTTATATCATTTTACTTTATAAAGCCCACTTCTGAAAAAATTCAAAAGCATCTGATTTTGTAACACTTTGTTCAATTTTACAGAATCAATCGAAGCCACATTTTATTTTTTTCCTTTATAGAGATATTGTGAAAACTACTTCTTTCTCGTGGACCAAGATATTCACCATCACAAGGTCAAAATCTACTAAGGGATTAATATAAAATATTATTGAATTTATGATAGATGTCCTTCCCTCTTTGATTATATAATCAACTTCTATTAACAGTAAATAGGAATTCATAGACTACAGCCTGTACAAATGTGAATTCTTTCTTTTACATCTAGCATAGCTTAGACTAACTAAACTGTTGCCTCCTCTGTTTTATTGGTGAAATATATTTAGATTATGAGTCATTCTTCTGGCAACTGCAAATATATTGCTCATCAAGAACAGCATTTTCATAGTAAGCATAAATTCTTCTGAAGTCTTCATTTAAATAATTTTGCATTCTATTTGATGAAGAAATGAATCCTTTCGAATGTTATTTACCTTGTCTAATATTTTCTTCTTGTATTCTTCTATTTAATCTCTTTAAATCTTTTGGTGGTAAAAGTTCACTAACAAGCCTCATTGTATATTCACCAGGACATGAATTTTCTACACAAGCAAAACTACATTTTCCTTCTTTAAAACAAATATCGATATGTGTTCGAACACAATTCCTAAATAAAACAAAACAAAAAAATCGACATTCACAATAAAAACTAGATTCTTTTGAAAACTTACCGACAATAAAGATGTCCGACAGTACATTCAACCATATCATCAATTAAAAGATCTTCTTGACAACATATTTCACATTCAAGCGTTTCATTTCCTTTTTTCGCTTTTTTTACACGTTTTTCATGTTCTTTAGAAACTTTTCCAAGATATCCTTGAAAAGAAAAGAAAATTCTTTTTATGTTAATAAATTTTAATTCTCTTACGTCGAATTTTTACTTCATTTTTAGCAAAACGAAGTTCATCGTAAAATTCCTCACAAGGTATATGTGGTATTGGATATGCAAATTTATTGTTTTTGATTATCCATGCTATAGATGGCTTTCGACCAACGCCATCAATAGATAAATCTAATTAAAAGAATTCAATTATAATATTCTATGAAAATGTAATCTTACCAATCATATCTAATGAACGTTTAATCGTCATTCTTTGTAGAAACGAATTAGTACGAATACCAGCTCGTGTTTCTAGTTTTCTCACAGTTGGTAAGAAATGACAATTTTCTTCTTGCAATGCTTGTTCTAAAATCGTTTTATCTGTCGTTGGAAATGCACGTATAAGAAATGCTTTAGCATGATTAGTATACGATTCGGATTGTTTACGTTTAGTATCGAAAAAATAATTTACTGGATCAGGATACGATGATAGAAATTTTGGTATATCATCAATCATATCGGATATTGAACGTTTTAATGATGATTGCCGTTCAGAATTAGTTGAATGAGATTTTTTTACTCGTTTTGTATAGCCATTATCAAGAAAATGTGTCACAATATCATTTGTTGATGGAATTGGATTCATGGATACGATGGTTTGACGTGCAGCATCAAGGTCAATATCGGGTATAACAGATTGCACTTCTCCAAGTATTTCATCAATATCCAGATCAGGTATAAGAATAAGTTCAGTTTCTCGAGAAGGTTTAGGTCGATGTTTTGATATCAATGGTATAATTGGAGGCGTTGGATAAGGATACGGAGGCGGTTGAACAGGAATAAAATTTCTAAAAAGATCAATGATTTTAGTTTTTCTATCTCTCCAAACAACATCTAATTCAAGGTCGATTAAGACTTCAATTTCTTTTTCTCTTCTGGGAAAATGACTTTTTTCCCAGAAAAATGAATTAATACAAAGACTCAATCTGAACAAAGATATTCATGAACAAGGAACGAGTAATTCCCTAGTGATAATATCTTATTTCTACTTAAACAGTAACCTTATAAAACCAACATTTATCGAACCTGATAGGAGTCGATGGATTTACTGTTGCATTTGTTGGCATGTCAGTAACATTATTCACTAGAATTGGATGATTAAAATGACCAAACGACTGTGTTTTTTCTATTGGAAAAGCTGGTATTTTCCAAGGTTGATTATTGTTATTTGGATTTGTCGATGGATATAGATGTTGAGAGGAAGATGATAACTGATTATAAGGTGATGGATAAAGTGTATTATTAGATGCAGCCCAAGGACTAGATAGTGGCGTGACTGGTGTTTGTGGTAGCCAGAATGGATCAAAAAGTGTCGATGATGCTCCTAATTGAATATTTCTCCAGTCGGATAAATCTTTTGCTTGTTGTTGCTGTTGTTGATGATGATGACGTTGAACAACTGCAGATGTACTTAAGGGTGTTGGTAATGGTTGCATAGTCGTCGGAGTAATACCCTTAGATTGGTCTATTGCAATAATATCATCGGTAAAATCAAGATAACTCATAACTGTTTGTTAAATAAGAAGAAAATGAATCTAAAAAATAATGTCATATTAATGTTCGTCGTTTTTTTGCAACGAAAGAAAAGACATAAAACCTACATTGTAAATACACCTACTCATTAACAACAGCATTTTTTACGCATCTCCTCCTCTCAATAACGACAGCGTCATGGATTGCAAAAAAAAACTAAATGAAATGAATGTTAGAGAACGAACAACGCATCGAGCACACAATAGCGGAAGAGGAAAGCGAGAGAAAAAGCAGAGTGCCCGACCGACTATCTGCTTAGTTCATTCTTTTCTCGTCGATGACGACCACCAACAAATGTTTGATTGTCTCACCTACTGGTCATTTTTTTTCCTGTGTTCGTTCGATCCAGCAACATACTGACTAGAGATAAATTCAGGAAAGACAAAAAGAAAAAAAAGAACAAACACTAATGGATAAATACTCATGAAACGGGATTCATCTGATTTAACCGAGACTTTATAACTAAAATGACGAGGGATCATATTGATCGGACTAAAAATAATGTTTTTTTTTTCTGTTTAGAAAAAATGACATGCATATCTTATCCATAGTTTATTCACGGGGAAAAAAAGAAAACAACAAAGAAATAAAATATTGATTTATTATTCTTTTTTCTCCTAGACTTTTTTATTTATTCTTTCAATAGCAATCTAATCATTGACAATGGTCACGTTGATAGTAGCGACATTTGATTTTTTTAAAAAAAAAAGACAGATCAATTGGATTCAAAAACGATATTTAAATTAAAAGAATACATAAATATACATACATGAGAAATATTCTTTTAAGAGCTATTCTTGAAATTTTTTTTACCATTGGTTCATAATTCAGCTGCTGGATTTTTTTGATTATATCATACTTTCGGTACAAGATACAAATTCTTGATTTTTGTATGCATGTTAAGAACTTCTCAAAAATATCTTACAATCAATAAGGGTTGCTGTGATCGTTTTCATCCCTATGGAAACATCATTCAATCTACAATTCAATTACCTCGGTAATTGAGGAAGAATTTCAATGCCCACATCTTTTCTTTTTTACTTCACTATACAGATCTATCGTAGTAATACCGTGTCGATATTATAAAACACCCAATTTTAACTCTCGAAATTATTATGAAGTTCTTGGCGTTGAACCTGCAGCAACACAAAAAGAAATAAAAAAAGCATTTTACAAATTATCCAAAGAAGTTAATAAAAAGAAACTATGATTTTTAAACTTTCTGTTCGTTTTCAGTACCATCCCGATTCAAATGCAGCTGATAAATCACTTCATGACAAATTCGTTAAAATCAACGAAGCTTTCAGTATACTCAATAAACAATCTGCACGTAACACCTATGATCAATGTAAGAATGAAACTAATAATATTTCAAAAAAATCATTTTATGAGAAACGACGGATAGCATTGACAATTCTACCAAAACTACTCGAAAGAAACAGATAATAGTATCATATAGAAATAAATCTGATGATGACACATGTTCCATAGTGTTTACTTTAAAGATAATAAGAATAAAATTCTTTCATTATTTATAGCTCTTTCTACAATATCTCGGTCTCCATATCAATCCTATCCTCGTTATTCAGGAACAGATTGGTCAAATGTAAATTCCAATACTCGATATACATATCAAAGGCGAACAACTACAAATGAATTCACTTGGTAAGCAGGTGCGATTTTCATCTATATGACGTTCCATCTTCACATCAGAATACAATTTCTTTTCAAAAGGGGTACACCTCGTTATGATCAAGCATACTATGATGCGTTTCGTCGAAAAATGGAATCTGATAGACGACGTTCACAAAATTATTCATATTATTATTCGTCATCATATAATTCATCCGGTGGTTATTTTACTTCAGCATCTATTATTTTAATTGTTATTTCATTTGGTATGTTCATTCATGCATTACAATGGCGGTATGATTTCTATAGAAAGCATTATATAGAAAATAATTTGTTAAATTTTAGTACAATGCGTTATTCTGATCCACAATATGCTGTCGATCCAAGAACGCGTCATTATCATGCTTATCGCGAATGGCGACGAATGCATACTCTTAAAAATAATGAATTTACACAAGATCCGCGAGAATCCTCCTCGTCGTCCATTGATGAAAATTAATTTTTTCTTTCATTACTAGTAACTTTTATGTGAAAGTCTTGGTATCAATCTTTTATTCTTAATCTTCGATTATATCTTACGTTAGAATGAATGTTCGTTACGTTTCGCACATTATGATCGAATATTGAAGAAGAAAAAAATTCATATCAAGATTTATAACGTATGAGTTGTAAATATCTTTTTCTTGTATCATACACAAAAAGAAACAGAAATATAGTTTTGTTATTTTTGTTTTAAATTTGAAAATAATAGTATTACACAAAGGGCAAGATTTATGGGATTATTATTTCAGAACAACTTTTTTTAAGTTACTGAAATTAGATAAGATTGGGTTTCGACCCTTCTTGTCAAACTCGATCGATAATTATTGTTTTAGAGAAAGTGAGAAGAATTTTTGTATCATCTCGAAACGTTAAAAAATTGACAGCAGCAAAAAGAATTTAGTGAATGAAATCGCACAATGATCGAGTCTATTGTGTTGATGGAAATTACTAATACCGCTGTTTAAAACATGAGATCGTTGATAAAATGGTATAATTTATCTATTAGTTTCGTTTTGAACTTGCTGCTTCATATACATATATTAATGATATGGTATTGATGAGCATCGATATAAAATCAAGCCGTTATAAGTCATCACCCTATGTTTTGGGGGATGTCCTAATCAATCAATTCGATATAATGGATAAAGATTTTCACTATTTTGTTAAAAAATTTCTACGCTATTGCATCACTGATTATATATTAGATAGCGTACAACTAACAATCTAATCTTCATCAAATATCACATGATTTGTAATCTCAGTATATTGCGTAGTTGTCGAACCATTATGGAGTTGATATTGAACTTGTCTCAGAAAGGAATGATATAAAGGGTTTACAGCACTTTCCTCTATTCTCAGAATGATCTGGATTGATATTGTATGTAAATATAATTAAAAAAGAGCCATTCAGTAGTCTTATGATAAATTCATAGAATTAAAATTGAACGTAAAGCTTGTAATAATTTTTGATGATAAAAAAGTATCTGTTTATATAATGACGAAATAAAATATGAGAGCAATTAACATATAAATATATTAAATGAATTTCGAGCGTTACATATGGAAACTGATGCTCATTCGATGTTGCTGATTTAGTCATTACTTTACAGTGTTTTTATTTTGTATGGAAATTTTCTCAGGTCGAGTATCCTCGGTCGTAAATGACCGAGCACCGATCAGCTACAGAGAACATTTTCGTAAGTCGTGACCTTACAAGATAGATATAAACATTTGCTGTGCCTGCGCGGTGATCGTGACTGGTGTCTGGATAACGCTGTCAGTGATTGTGCACGACTGTTATACATCGTTGGGTGTACGACTATGCTTTTTACACTGGATTTCTTTGCAAATAATGATCGATTCTTTAGCATAAAACTTTTCTCATACTCTGTGATGCTTCACGCAGGTACAGTGACCAATAGTAAGCATTTTTTAAATAATTAAGTTACTGTGATACATTACGATTCTCGTAAGCAATAAATTTGAAAACTCGCCATGAACATTTAGCACAGATACAGAGTAAAACAAAGGCAGCCATATAGATGACAATTTAAGCGATACGATACGATACAGTTGCCATTAATTCTTCAACAAACCAATGCTATTTTCAATCTGAATGACCGTAATTGAACTTTCATATCGACGAGCGGTTCTTACTTAATGCAGTCTTTCTGCCAACATTAAACTCTAAATCTATCCGCCTAAGAGAAAGGTGATCAAACAAATTATTTATCTGTCGCAATCTGAGCAACTGAATAAAAATTTCTCGGCAGCCTGTGGATACGAGTCAGAATATGTTCATTATTGACCCACACAAACCAATGGCACACTTTAAATCGCAGGATATTTTATTTAAAGAGTAATAGATATAGACTCGGTTTCATGCAACAGAATAAAAAATGTTACGCCTAATCAGAAGCTTCTATTCAGTGCTTTTAAACTTCTTAAACACATGGTCACGATAATTGTCTTAAGTTAGCATACGAGTTTTGCATGTTCTATCGATCAGCTTCTATAATGTTTTCACGTGAAAATCAAAATAAGTTTGATTACTATCATCTTCAATCCATTGATCGACAGGCTGTTGGCACAAGAAACACGTTAATGTACTGTCTGCATTGCTCCGTAAACGATTGAAACACACTTCACAGACAAGTTTATGTCCACATGGTTGAAAACGATATTTTCTTGGATTATCCTCGCATATAGTGCATGATTTTTCTTTCAAATCTGCTAGACATTCTACCAATTTTAATCTAATTTCTTTTACGCCTGGACGATCTACAGCTGATGATTGTAAACATGATTTTATTAGATCTTCATATATATGATTATATCGATTCAAAGGTGCGATTGATTTTAACAAGTATTCAACATTGGTTATGCTATCAGGACGATGGTAGCTGTTTTTCGGCAATAATTCATAAAGAAATACACCAAATGAATACACATCGGCAGCCTTACCATCATACATACAACCAGACTGTATCTCTGGAGCTAACGGAAATGTCCCGACCATCGCTGAATTCGAAGCCCATTCTTTTGCTGTACCAAAATCACTTAAATAACATTGCTGATCTTTATCCATTAGTATATTTTTAGCTTTTATGTCACGATGTACAATTTCATTGGTATGTAACAAAACCAAAACATCTGCCATATCCAGTGCAATTTGAAGTACACGTTTCGGTTTGATTGTGGCAATATTTTCTGTCAAGTATTTCTCTAAGCTTTGCTCATACCTTGGTAAAAAAATATATAACTCGCTCATAGTACCGTTTAGTTGTTTATCATACAAATACAGCAGAGGCACAATATGAGGTAATTGACATTGTTGTGACTCGCCATCAGACGGAGGAAGTTTGATCTCGCGAAGTTGTGTGATTTTTCGATGATTATGTGCTTCCAAATATTGTAGATGTGCATGTTTATTTGACGATTGTTTCAGTTTTTTAACTGCTAAATCTTTCTTCGTTGACCATGCAGCTGGATAGACAACAAAATGTGTTCCATGTCCTAACTCCTCTGATTCATTGATCAATGGATGTTCTCCATTGAATTTCGCTAAATCTTTAAGTCCCAGAAATTTACATTCTATTTCTCTAAAGTCTTGTGTATATTTATTAGTTGATTCATAAGCACTAGTTCTGGCTTTTAAATGTGTTACAGCAAGGTGATAATTATTTTGAATATTATTATTGAACGCTTCCTTTTTATTTTCGATCCATAGTTGCAAATTTTGATTATATAAAGGTTTTTCTGCAGTAATTTTTGATCGTGTTCGTTTCAAATATTCTGCAGCGAAATCACGCCGCTTTGATTCATCAGTTAAAATTGATAATGAATCCATCGCATCGATAACGTCGTAATATTCTTTCTTGTTGCTCAAAAGATTCGAACTGGTTTGATTCCAATACTTCTTATATGGAAGTTTTGAAAGTCCTCGTATCAAACGAAGTAAAGCTGATGGTGCTATGGATAATTGAAATAACACATTCTCCATCCATTTACGTTGACTAATGTCATCCGATGATATATCCATTAAAACTTGTCGTTGTGCAGTCACTAATAATTCATTTTTTTCTGTGCTAATTAGAATTTCATGTTTAACTAACAATTGAAATCCTTCTTTAGCTTCATGTACAACTTCGTTTATTGCAACTTTAATAACTTCTTCTTGTACAACAATTTTAATAAAGTCTTTGATATTTTTTGTCACAACATCTCTTGTTATACTTTGCAATCGATCATCGGAACGTTCTAATTTAATGGCTCGTTCAATAATACTATCGGAATGTTGATCGAACCGTTGAATAATTTTTTCATGAACTTTTTCTGTTACTTTCGATAAATCTTTTTGAAATTTTTGAAAAAAATGATCACCCCATCGTTTTGCATTGGAACAAATGTCATCCCACTGTTTTTTCGTTCTATAGCTTGCTGATACAAAGAAATTGAAAATATTATCGATTTTTTCTATAATGGAATCAGCCATTTCATATGGTTGCTTCATTTCAGTTTTTAGAGCATATTCAATAATACGTCGGCAAGCTTGTTCAGTCATTTCAATGGCACAATTACGCAACAATGAATGCCCAACAACACTGCTAATATCGAAATTGTCACATTTTGTATTTAAGATTTCAGTGGAAGCTCCATTTTCAATCATTGGTAACTCATTTGCAATTCCAATCGCTGAATATAATGTTTGATAACGTTTTAATCGTTCACTAGGAAGAATCTCATGATATTTTGTAGTAGTAAACTGTCTCACGTTTTTTGCAGGGATGCTTGCACCATTGAATAGTGTCGTTATATCTTGTTTCGTATTTAAATAAAATATAGGTGGCTGTTCTTCATCACCCAATGCTGATCGAACCATTAAATAGCAATCATTTGCGTCTTTGGCAAAAGTTGCGTTCGCATATAAAAAAACAAGTGTTGGTCGAACATATCGAACTAATTCTTGTAGATTATCTTTTAATGTTGGCTGATCATGAAATAATAAACCTGGTGTATCATAAACATCAATACCTAGTTCAAGTATTGGCGATGGGATTCGAATTTCAACGAATCTTTTTGCCCAATCAATAAACTCTTTTTCAGTATTTAATTCTGGTCGAGCTATGTAAACATTTATCGCTTGCTTAATGCCTTTCCAATCTACTGTTGAATTATTAAAATATTCTGCTAAAGATAGTTTGTGTTCTTCCTCATGGTTCTCACTAAAAGCGTCTCGAATGGATGAGTAGACAATCAAACGTGCCGCTGATGGTATACTATATGAGAATTTAACAATACGTGCAGTTACTGGACCAGCACCAACAGGTAAAATATTATTTATCTTAAGAAATGTATGTAAAAATGTAGTTTTTCCACTTGAATTCGGACCGCAAAGAGCCAACTGAATTCGATCATAAGTTCGATGATTATTAAAAAAATTAAAATCCAACGATTCCATTTCTTCTGAATACGGCTGTCTTATGGAATCACCTGTAGATAATAGGGAAATATCTTTTTGAAAGTTCAAATAGATATCCATAAAATCATTTGCCAATTGTTGTATTCCAAATTTAATATGACGACTTGATTCAATAGTTTGCTTTATACTATTTAATCCATTTGTCACGAGTTCACTTTTGGATTCAGTCGGCACATCGTTTGATGCTGTTGTTGTTGTTGCAGATGCCATTCAAACTCCAAAACTAGAAACTACAAAATGATGATTTTTGATTTCAGTCTCTTTAATCGATGAGAGTTCAATTTGTGTCAAAACTGCAATTATATCAACATTTTATTTTATGAATATATGACTACCAGACATTTTGAGTCTAAAAGTAATCCTTGAAAAGTTAATTATCGACAACTTTGCTACATGAACTGATGAACGAGAAGAAAGAAGAGCTAATGAGTGTATGAGGACGTAGGCTTTGCGAACACTCTTATTTGTAAAAGCGAATTTCAGTGATGTTTTTGAAGATTTTCTCACGTTTTCTTCTCTATTTGTCTTTTTTCTTCGTTTCAAATCATCGCAACATTTTTAACCTATACGAAACACAAGGTAGATAGGATGTTTTCGGTGTGACGATAACATGATGGCTGATACTCGACTTTCCCGAAGAAATCTTCTGCATTTTCCCCCTACTCAAGCAGGAACCTCATGTTGAATTTCTATGGGTGTTTCCGAAGCGACGGGAAATTTTTGAATAAAAATGAAGTTAACCGTAGTTCAAGTAAGAGAACCTTATCTCATATCATGCCACTTACGCACTGCAGTTTTAAGAGGTTTATGTAAGTCGAAAAGCCGGTCTGATTCCCGAGTTATCCACCATTTCCTTCGAAAATTTTTCTTTTATGCAGAGATTTGCTATTTTTAAGAAATATCTATTTGTTAACACTTTACAAAAAGGCTCAGAAAAGTATTTCAGTGTAAAGATTGCTGACTTTATCTCTTGAATTTTATTTTGATAGATATTTTTGTTTAAGTCAGTCTTCAGTTTTATTCTATATTCTATTGACAGTGATTAGAACCGCAATACCACTGTACATCTCTCGTACAAGCGTTCGTGATAGTTACGATGTGTTAAATAGACATGTGTGCTATTTCATTAGCAGCTTTCAAGTGTACAAACGCATGAATGAAATAAATCCTCTATTGAATGTACAGTTGAATGAAAATACTTAATCTTTGGAATTAATAATAAATGCTTACATAATAAATTCAAGATCAACTGATCCGATTGAGAATAATTTTTACCTTTAAAATAACAATGAAATCTGAAAAGATATAAAATATTGTTCTGGAGTAAAAGTTAGAAAATTTTAAAAGTAGAAAAATCATTTTTTAAGATAAAAGCTGTAAGTGGCGAATTATCAAAGCATTAAAGTCAACTCAAACTTTTTCTAATAAAGATTTCAGTACTTCAGCAATCTTAGATGCTTTCGGGCGGGAAACCGGATCTTGATCTAGACATTTTCCAATTCAACTATTAAATTCATCAAGTATTTTCACCATATTTTCATTTTTTCCCAAAGATTCATAGAGCAACATTCCTAATTCACCAAGAGAATAAATATCGTTCCCAACTATCTTCAGTTCCTGATGTTTTTTGTATTTATGAACATATTCCTCAAGAGTTTCATGCATTCTTGTAGAATGAAAGTCACCTAATAAATATTCGTCATCATTTTTAATGTAAATATTTCTTACATTAACATTTCCATGAATAAGTTCATTATCATGTAATTTTTGGAGGCATGTCGCTATAGTTCGAATAACATTGAAAACATTTTTAATTGTTAATGTATTTATTTTATTTTCTAAACATTCATATTTTGGAAAAAACATCCACAATTCACTATCACTATTTTCATAAAGATACAATAATGGAAGACAATTCGGAATACTCATCTTTGATAGTTCTAGATAATAATGTGCTTCTAAATACTGCACATTGGACACGTTTTTCAACTTTTTAACAATTAAATCCTTTTTATCTAACCATTCAGCTGAATAAAACTGAAAAAGTTTGTTGTCATCGATAAAAATTTGCTCCGCTAAGTTCAGTCTGGGAATATGCCCATTAAATGAAGTTAAACTTTGAGCAATAATTAATTTACATTGAATATGTGCAAATTGTGCAAAATATTTATTGGTTACGCCATAGGCTTTATTTCTTTGTGGTAAAAGTCTTTTTGCTAATTCATATTGTTCATCGATTTTTTCTTTCACTTCTTGTTTTTCCTCCTCGCACCATTGCTCAAGGATTTGATTTAGATGATTTTTTTGCTTCATAAATCCTGATCGAATATCATTTAAATATTGCTGCGCTATATCTCTTCGCTCCATATTTTTCGATTGCACAATTCTTCGATTGATACCTTGACGTAGTTTCTTTTTTAATTCGTTACGCCCTGAATTCTTTCTCGCTTTTGTATCGTTATCTTCTTCATCTGTTTCAATCAGTATATCACAAATAAAATATAATGGTTTTATACTAGCCTTACATAAATAAAGTTGACAAAACGTTTCATCATCTGTATTTACTTGATGGCCTAAAAGATTTTGTTGTACAGCGACTAAAAATTCATTTTTATCGGCATTATTTAAGAGAGACGAATCAAAAAATGCTCGGACAATTGATCTTATTGCATAATCTTCAATGAATTTGTTTATAATTGCACTAATAATTTCTTCTTTCACAAGAGTTCTAATATATTGTCCCATGGTTTCAACAGCGTCCAGTTTTGCTGCTCTTTGAACAATACTTTCCATCTTTTCATTTATTTCGCTTGCAATAACGTCATATAAGTTTCTTAAAGTGCCATCTAAATCACTTTGATAATGAATGAAATAGTTTTCAGTCCATTTGTCAGCATTTCTACGTAATTCTTGTAGTTGTTCATGTGTTCGATGCGTTGTAACAAATGCGAAATCAAAAAATGAATTGATTGTCGATAGAACTAATGCACTAACTTTTTTTGCTAGTTTTAAATCTGAATTAGCGACGAATTGAATTAAATGATCAACTGTTAACTGATTCATTTTCACACCATTTGGATCCCACTGGGATTCTACAGAAATGATGTCAAAATCACCAAATTGGGATATTTGTTCAGCCATGCCAGGTGCTTTTAGCAGGAGATTTTTACGTTCTTCGCGTGTATTGACTAGAATTCGTTTTTCGAACTCTTGAGCGTTTATCTCTTCATCATTAGTGATAATCGTACCGATATCAACCTTTGTATTCAAGAAAAATATTCTAGTATCATCAAGTTGCTTACCAAGTGCTTCTTTTAACGCCAAAAAACAGTCTTTCGTGTCACTGATAACTGATGGATTTTCATACATAAAAACAACTGTTGGTATTACTGTTTTGATGAGATCACGTAAATTCTTTTTTAAAACTGGTGGATCCGAGAATAACAAACCAGGTGTATCATACAAATCTATACCCAATTTTAAAAGCTTTGATGGGATTTGAATTTTGACAAAATGTTTTGCCCATTCAGCAAACTCAGTGGAATCTTTGGGAATCTTTTCGGGATCTGGTCGTGCAACATGTTGTTGAATAGCATCTTTAACGCCACTCCAATTAGGCTCTGGCTGAAGAAAATATTCACTTAAATTAACCTTTTCAATAGGTTCTTTGTGTCGTTCATTTATTGATTGATAAACATATAGGCATGCTTCTGTGCTATTTGAATATGTCAGGTGAATAATGCGTGCACTAACTGAACCAACATCAGACGGTAAAAATGGGTCCGATTCCAAAAGAAAATGTATTAATGATGTTTTACCGGATGAATTCTCACCAACAAATGCTAATTGCACTTTATCAGCAATTACTTGCTTATTCAATCTTTGAATTTTCAATATATCAATCAATGGTTTTGACTTTCGTTCAATTGTTTGATCAAATTTTTCTTTTTCTATTTGTTGTAATAGCTCACTCTGTAATGATAAAAATTCATTTGTAGCTTGTTGAACCATTTGACGCATTCGATGATTACTTTGAATAATACGTGTTAATTCGATGTCATCGAATGTATTTGTCATTAGTACTTCACCCATCTAAAAATTTCAAAATAGAATGATATTCAATTCTATGTGTCAAGTATCGGTGAAAAAAATAAACTGATTGTATTCAAATACCGATAAGTCATAGATGATTTCATTCAAATTATGAAGATACGTCATTTCTTCAAAAACTTGACTAGCCGATACCGATTCATCAATTATATTCGATGAAGTACCTGTAAAATACTAAAATGAAAAACTACCAATGATTCATTCTCTTTCTATATTGTTATATATTTATCGTATTGATTACAGCACAAATTGTTTCTTGTAAGATAGACTATAATGTAATATACATTTTAAATAGGAAGAAAGATGAGTGTTTTCTGGAATAAATTTTGATAGGAAATGGACAAAGATGTGCAGTTTTTACCGCTTAGTAATTTAAAATCAGATGCAGATACCGTGTTTGGTTTAGAAGGTGACTATCTCGTCAAAAATCTACCAAACACCTATAGTATAGTGTTAATAACTCGTCTTCAGTTAACTATTTTAACAACTAACTTGTAGAGATAATTGAACTTTATTGTAAGTTCGATGCCCTACTGAATGTTAAAATTTCAAAACTTCGACATTACACTATGCTTTCTTCTATTTGAGAAGCTTGATAGAAGAACCTGATACAATTTGTTGGAAAAATACGGTGTCGACGATTCGATGCAGCTTTGTTTCTTTTTTTTTAAACAATGACAGCCGTACATCACTACCTAATTTGTCTAAAAAGCTGACTGTTAAAATATCGAACCTTCTTCACTTTGAAATAGACACTAGTTGCTGACTCTTATCTTTTTATCTTTATTGTTTTCTTTTTATCAGAGTTTTATCATTCATCTTAAAATCGACGAAAAATTAAGTACGTTATTTGGTTATTCTAAGTATCAAATAAGTGAGAGAGGGAGCGCACCACAATCTTTCTTAAGTTAAACTTTCACTTTCCGTTCACTACAAAATCCAGTGATGGCTATATATGCATAGATATGGGTGTGGATGTGAGTGTGGAGTGTGAAATGTGGAATGTGTGTGTGAATGTGGATGATTATTAAAACAGAAACACACCCACACCCACGCCGAGTAGCTGTCTAATTCGAGTTCGAATATAAATGGAGGAAAGAAAAAATTAAAGTGACACTAAATCTAGAAATACATTTAGTTTTAGTTTAACTTTCCGAAATATGCGACATATGAATACATTTATACCCTTCATCCGCACCCACATTTGAGCACTTCTCAAATGGTATCCATCCCCCACAACCACATTTAAAGTACACTGGGTATCCCCACCTCCGCACCATTTCCGGGTACCCTCCCCCCCCTCACTCGCACCGACGCCCACAATTACCCCATAGTCCCCCTCAACCCACATCCACTCCATCTTAAACTAAATATAAAACTAAATCTATTTCTATCACTGATTTTCGAATTGATACCATGCTGTTGGGTATGCATTTATATTCGAATTCGAACTAGGCATCTCATGCCCGCACCCAAATTAGTTTATCGATATGTTTTTTTTTAGTTTATTTAAAGTCAGAGAAAGTTCATTTAAAAATAAAAGAAAAAAAAATTCATCTAACTGTCATCATTGCTTTTTTAGCAATCGCATCAGCTATAAGGATTTCTTTTTTAGCTCGCATTGTACCAGCGCCAACATAAGGTACAGCTTCTGGATGTTCAATATGATACTGTTGTTGGGCTTGAGTTTTTGACCATTGATCTTGAAGATCGAGTATTCTACATTCTCTAAGAAGAACATGCGATGAACGATTTGAGTCTTGAGGATTATTTTTTGTTGGCCGTTTTATTTGAGGGATTGTCTCGTGATAAGATATATCTTTGTATGAACGTTGATAGGTGGTAGGTGGATCAATGTTGGGCTCAGTAAATCGAGCAACAACTTCTGGACCTGGTAAACGTAAATTTGTTTTAACTGAACGTGGAATTTGTGGAGGCACTTGAAGAGAAGGATTCGATTGTGGCAGAACTGTTTGTTGTTGAAATACTTTATTTACTGTTGTATTATGATCAGTTTTAAATGGTGAATCATAAACACGAACTGTTGGTCGACGTAAATATCCATTTGTATGTTCATTAATAGAATTTGTTTTATACAATTCAGCCGACGCTGATGGACGAATAACTGGACTAACAAGATTAGCATTGGGAAATTCTGAATAATTGTTCATTGATGAATTTGAAATGGCTTTCATTGGATAACTATTTAAACTTCGTACTCGTTCAAGATCATTATTATATGTCGTACTCATTAAACGACTTGGATCAATACGTGCATTATTTAATAGAGTATTTTCTTGAAGAAACTTTTTCGTATTGTATCCTTGACCATAGATAGTTTCACGTTGAACAAATTGTTTTTTACCTTCCTGTGTACGACTATCAACAGTAGAAGCATCATGTGGAACACTTAATTTGCGGAGAAGATGATTCTGAATAGATAAAAAAAAAAACTATCATATTTACATAAGGGTGCTACGTTAATATGATGCATATTTATTTGATTACGGAGGAATCGAAAGAATAAATAAGATTTTTTTCTTCTTCTCTATTTTGCCTTGTTCTCAATATTTGAGTGATTCTCTTGCATAATTTCGTGCATGTAAATCAAGTACACAAACTAGACATCGGAGAAGTGCTGCTATTAATGCTCTTGGAATAAATCAAAACAAGATTCTTAACTGATTTGTAGTCTGAAGAAATAAACTTATCATCTCAACTATACCATTCAGAGAAATAATCTATTTTGTTTTGTTTTGTTTGTGTATGAGTAGAATCGACAAAAACAAACTAACCCGCATATTTTGATAATCACCAAGTGCTCGACGTTGGAATAATACTGGATTAGCTCTATTTTGAATTTGTTCACCGGTATTCAATAATTGATCAACTTCATTTTCTGTTGTAGTGTTCTCTTGTTGATATTCAAGGTCTGGTATTGCTTGAACAAGCACATTTGGATCATAGTTTTGAGTATGATAGAGACCTGATCGTTCTTGAACATATGTACCCACTTGATCATATAATGTGTTGACATAATCATCACGATATTGAGGTAAAATAGGTCGAGCATGACGTGGATGTTGGAGACTTTGTAATTTAACATTAAGTAAATTAATATTTTCTGTTGGACGAATAACTTCTAATTGTTGAAGACGATTTTCTGCGTCCATTTGTCGATGACTTGCATAATGATCATTCAGTAATTGACTGCCTTTTGATGTTGGTCGAAGTTGATCAAGATAACGAATTTCACGGGGTTTAACTTGAGTATAATTTAATGCTTCTTCTTCAGCTGTAAGTAAAAACGAAGATAAAGATATAAAAGAAATAGATCAAAGAAAAATCTACTTACGAATCCATGTTGGTGCTCGTTGAGTTGAATAAACATGCTCAGGAAAATTAATATAATCTGTTCCATTACGCAAATGATCATCGAGTTTTTCATTTAAACTCATAGTTCTAAACAAAAGAAAATTTTGAACATGTAGAGAATTGTTATTTATACGTATATATTTATATAATTACTGTATTGTTTCTATTGGTGCGTAGTATTGTTCAAGATCAGTCGATTGTTGATGATTTCCGTTCATGTGGATAGTCTGCATATCTTCTATTGGAATTGTTGATTCGAATGTCTCGTTAAAATGAGGTTTCTATATATTGAATTAATAGAAAAAAGAGCAAGTCTCTCTTCTGCTTTTTTTTCTTGAAAAATAACTTGCCAGTTGTTCATTCGGTGAAGGTGACTTTATTATTGTTTCGTCGTACTCACTACGAGAAGCTAATCCTTCTTGATTTGAATAATTACTTTGATAAGTAGTTTCAAGTGAATGTCGTTCTTTAATTTTATTCGAATTATTTTTTGGTGAATTTGGAATTGACTTTTTATTGTTGGGGGCAAATATTTTGCGTGGCCAAGGATAAATCGATGATGATGTTTCAGTGTTACTTAGTGATCGAGATAACTATGAAAATTGGAAGCATTTGCCGAAGAAAAATAATGTTATTTAGACGTATTACTTGCATACGATGTTGATCTGGCCATTTCAAAGCTCGATGATGCTCTTGTTGAAATCCGTAGTAATGCACTTCACGACGAAATGGATTACCTATTTAAAGACAAACATCGACAGGGCGTGCTGCACAACCGTAACAATAACAACAATTGAAACACAAGAAAAACGATTCTGTGTCGTAGTTAGAATAATAGGAATTTTTTCTAATCAACGGCCAAAGCAAATAAAAACTAGAGCAACAAAATAAGACCGATAGAGAGCGAGAGAGAGGGAGCGGAACGGAGTCTTTGATCGTGTTTCCAATTACTTTTTTTTTGAAGAAGAAGAAGAAAAGAGAGCTGCACACTTTGCATTTTTCTTTTTATTTACCTCGAATCTTATGTGTTACAACATAAGGATCAGTACATGTTGAAGGACGATCATGCAAATTAGCGGTTGCTGTCGGGAAAACAGCTTTGTCAGATATATGAGATGCAAATGGATGATTTGAGGGAAATTCTGATGATAATTCATGCGAAGTGATATTCGTTGTATGAAGTGGTGCAGGTACTCTAAAATGAATAGTTAGCAATATATCAACAAAATTGATGTTCAAAACAATTTTCTAAAGGAAATGACGTAACACAAGCCTGTTACCTTCTAATCTCGTAAAGTTGTGAATAGGACCTATGCAATCAACTTACAATTCATCGTTAGTTCGTAGATTACTTAATGTTAAAGCTGTATTTCGATATGTTTGCAAAATTGGTTCACCACTATAATTATAAATACGAAACCAAGGATTTCTCTAAATATTTATATCTTACCTATGCAGGAAAGTGCCCGATAAACGAAAAGAACCTGATCTATTCGCTTTAATCCGTGGTTTACCTGTACCCCAATCGATTGCAGATTTAATACGATGTCTTTTGTCGGAACAATCGGATTTAGACAAGACTAAAGTTGCCATCTCGAGAGAAATGCGTGTACTTAATTCTTAAAAAACTTGATGCAATGCTGTTTTTCTTTGTTCACCATAACATCAGAGATTTACAAGTAGCGAAAAGAACAATAGCATTATTCAACAACCAAAAAACGCCAGCAGACATCTGACAAGTGCATCGGTGAGGACCAATGTTTTTTTCTAATTATGTTGACAACATTCACTTATAGCATATGAGAAATTTTATTTAGGATAAAAAAGATACAGCAAAAAAAGATCCTTGCTTTACATAATTATATATATATATATATTCTCGATATAGATGATACATAATAAGCAAGACTAGATTAAGATTTTATATGATGGCTCATATGAGAACTTTTACGAAAAAAAACAAATATACATAGAATAGACAAACTAATTAACTCGATAAATATCACAGATATTTTTCTTATTAAATTAATTATGAGAATGAAGGTGTCCTCGCTATTTCTTTCATATAAACACCATCATCCAGTATTGATATGTAAGTTTTTTCTGCATCAGCATCTTCTTCTTTCATTTGCTCGTGTAGTGCAACTAAGCGATACCATGTAATAACATCGGGATCGCCTACATCCATGGACACTGAACATGCATCAATGCCATCTTTATCTTTTAATAATGGGTCAGCACCACGTTTAATTAAAAGAATAATTGGTCTAAAAGAAAACGTCCACAGGTTAAGATTTCAAAATTATATAATATTCATTATGTACCCTCGGCCTTTATTCGTTAATTGTGTCGCGTAATGCAGCGGTGTTTTTCCAGCTTGATCAGGTAGATTAACTTTGGCATTATTGGTTAAAAGAAAATCAGCAGCTGCAACTGATCTCTAGAAAGAATAGAAAAGAAGAAAGTTTCTTTTTTTTGTCACGCTCAATATTAGCAACATACACTTAATATTGCTTGGATTAATGGTGTTCGTCCGCCATCATGTTCATTAGCAAAATTCTTATCTGCGCCTAATGCTAAAGCATGAAGCATCATCATCACGTTATGATGGCGAGCTCCTTCATATAAATAAATATTCATATTCCATATTGATGATGAACTATCTTGATTATTTTTATCACTATCAGATGATGACGATGTTGTTCTTCTAGATAATAGAACAATAGTGTGTAAACAAATAATGTAAGCAAATAAAATACTAACTTTGATGATGATTCATCGGATATTGATTGTTTCATTATAGGCCATTTTTTGATTCTACGAGGTAACAATGGTATATCTTCTTGTGACGGTAATGAACGTAGAAAAGCTTTTTGAACATATTTTGATTCAATAAATGCTCGACGTGTAACACTGAAAACAAAATTTTTATTTCGATTTTGAGAACTCGTGAGATCTACTATTTTTCTAGGGGCGAACTATACACTATTAATAGTTATATAATTAAGATAAGAAGTAAATGTTCTATGTAACTTGAAACTTCTTTTCGAATCTCCGAACATCAAAATAACGTTAAAAAACAACCAAATAATTCTCAGTGTGCATACTCCAATGTTATTATTAGAGCTACTCATCATATTGTGCATAACTTATTCTTAAAACACTTACGCATCACTGTCAGCATTCGGTTTTTGCATTCCATTTGATAGTTGTGCTTCATAAATTTCATTCACAACTGTATTACCCAATTCTGACATAATAAGTAAGGTTTCTAAATCCCATGTATCCATATGAAGTGAACGAACTTTTGACAGATTAACACCCAGCCCTCTGTTTAATTCATAAAAAGAAAGTTTTTGTTTTTATCGTTACGAATAGTATACGACTCACCGATGAGCACCACCACAATTCAAACAAAGTAAAATTCCTATGTTAATCGATGCCCATTCTGGCCCATCTGCATTACAATCACAACACTTGTCATTGCCCGGAAGACAACGTACATATTCAATTTTTTCTCGAATCCTAAAATAAATTTACATCTTAAATTAAGCCAGAAGCATTTTTTTTCTATACATCTTTTGTTTAATTTCCGCTTTTTCTGCTTGAAGTGCATTTGATGATTCATCATTTGATTTTGGTGAAGACTAAAAACAATCATACTTTTATTTAAGATTTTATGAATCAAGACAAAACAAACCGAAGCTGAATTTTGACTGTTATCATTTGATGATTTAAATGAATTTTTTATAGCCAATTGTAGTGAACTAACCCATTGTTCACATTGAGCTTGAGAATCAGCTTGAAGAAGATGTGAGCTAGAATGAAACATTGTCAACAAGAATTATAAACATGTTTTTGTTTACCTATTTGGCGAAAGTATTTCAAAAACAAATCGACGATCAATATCATTCGCTGATCGAATCGAACACAGGCGTAAATCAGGCACCATGATTGATTGTGGTAATGATGGCTGTTGAGCACTATCATTGGTTGAAGTCGCATTATTACGTTTCATATAAAGTAATTGACCATTTCGAATAGAAAACCAACGTCTAAATTTTTTTTGAAAATAAATAATAAAACAGTCGATTCAAGGAAAATTGTTATTTCTCTTTTCGTAGAAGTTTACAATTATATCTAATTAACTGTCGCATATCATTCAACAAATAGATAATTTTTCAAGTTCTTATCAAAATCTAACTATACTCAGATACGCTATTGGATGATATAGCTTCTATTTTAGGATTCCACTATCTCTTTAGCCATTAATATATGTCACTGATGTGCGTTTTGAAATAATATTCCATAACAAACCTGCTCCATGTTTTAAATTTATTATGCGAACGTTTGAATAGATAACCTGAAAAACCCGAAAAGAAAATATTCATCGAAGAAAATAAAATATATTTCAATGGACCTTCTTTGGTTGGTTCAATGCCTGGTTGAGGTGTTGTGGGAACACTTGATAAACTTTGTTGCGATGGATTTCGAGGTAAATTTTCCTTGGGCTAAATTTTGTTTTTACAAAAGCATTATTTTTAAAAGAAAACAAAAACACAATTAAACTCACCACAGCTAACGCATTTTCTACTGGTACTTCAACAGTTTTATTATCTTCAAGGTTGCACTAAAATGAGAGAAAATCGAAAAAAAAATTAATTTTTCTAATTCAATAAAAAGTCAAATAAAGACGAGCTTAGGAAGTTAGTCGCGAATCAAAAAGAAAGTATCCAATCCCGAAGAATCTGTTTTTTTTTCAAGAGCTGCCATATAACCTGACGTGTACGTTGACTACGAGAACGTAATGATAGTTTGCCTTTCATTGATGATTGGTATAATGGAAGCAATGTAGAGAATTTTACTTTATCTGTTGATGGGCTTGTTGACGTTGCCATGATTGCTAACGATGAAGACTATAAGATTAGATTAGATTATCCAACAAGTTAATTTCAATATTGACTTTTTGAAAAAATATTTCTCTCCTTCTTCATTACTTTCAGTTGTCATCAAGACTAAGATAACGCGGCTAGTCAACAAAAACAAATGAAGCGTAGAGTAAATATGACTAATTGTACAAACATGATTTCTTATTCATCAGTATAACTTACTTTTCTCTGATTAATATCGTGAATTTTCTCAAAATGTTTCTGTTTTTGAGCATTCTCTTGTCGCATTTTTGTTAACTGAAATTGAAATATTTTGTTTGGATTTAGTTTTCAAAAATTAAACTTTACTTGTGATGTTATTACATTGAAATCGCGTTCAGTATCTATCGATAGAAGTTCGTGGCCTTGATGAAAAAATGCTTTATGAATATTAATATATGATAATAATAGTTCAATTAATTCAATTTTATGTTGATTAAATAGTACATTTATTTGATATGTATAATCGATTGATGTATGACCAAAACAACTGCGAGTTGCTATCAAAATTTTACTTGTATCTTCACATACATGAGCTAAAGCACAAGACGCAAATTCATTTCATATATAAGTGTATACCTGAGCACTAAAGTTTATTACTAGATCCTATGATGCTGATACATACTTGACATTAGACTATCGAAATCAATATTATTTTCAAATAATCAATCGATGGAACAGAGGTGATTATAAAGCAACTGTCTATGTCACATGCGTTATTTATAGCCCTGAGTTGTACTTAATTTGTGTAATGGAAGGTCATCATTCTAGTTCATTGATTCAATAATTAGAATGATTGCAAAATAAATAGTTAATTAGAAAACTATCTTATCGTCCGAGTTAACGCATCAAATTCCTTGTTATATTATAGATATGACGTTTTTTTACCTTATTGGATACATGTGAATATACTATTATGCTTTGTTTCTACAGATAACCTCTATCAAATAAAGCATTAATGTATAAACACTTCATCGACGTATTTTTCTCCACCCACTCATTAGCCTCAATAGTATCTTCAGTCAAGGTCTGCAAATAGAAATGATCTTATTCGACCTTTATCAAGGACATTTTTGTATGATAATACAAGTTAATATTCAGTCGCATAATTTCTACGTACATTTAGTTTTCGATGCATCCGCATTCTTTTGTAAAGCTAGAACGAAAAACGAAAAATAGATTGAAAATGATTAATTAAAAATTCCAATTTACCAATATCATAATCTGAACTTAAACGTTCAAATAGTTTTCCTTGGTCTTTTACTTTTCTAATATCTTCTTTTAACATTCGTGTTAATGTTCTCAACACACTATTTGATGTTTGTTCAAATAAACTCTATTTTAAGACAAGAAGAAAATGTTTACGAATATTTAAAACAAAGTAGTTTTTACTTACGGAAAAAAGTGCTTGTATTTCACTTAAATATTCACCGAATTTGGCTAAACTTTTAAAAGTTACATCATCGGAAGCAAATAATTCTCGAACATCATAAATAGATTTAAGAAATTTTCTAAACAAAATAATTAAAAACAACTTTTCGTTTTTATTTCTTGTAAATCGTACTGAAATTCTTGTACAAATGTTTTTCCTATATTAATTACAGCATTACATGATTTGGACATCTAACATAAATAAATCGATAGATAATTAAATATGAATTTTTTTTCTAAATTTTACCTGTTCTAAGCGATCCTCTAACATATCGATATGATTTGTTGCTTGTCGAAGTTGATTTCTAAGAAGTAATAAATGATTGCATAATAAGAGAAAGCTAGTTGCTGAATTATATCGCGAATAGTTTCTCTTCGAAGAGAAAAGAAAAGAAAAGAGAACATACCGATAAACAGGAGAATCTTTGAGACATTCTTCAAAATCTATTTCATTCATGATAATCATTCGACTAAATAGAAAAATAGCGAAATAAAATCGACGCCATTAGAACAAAAGATAAGATTCTAATGGCTAGAACGAATGAGTTTCGTTTTTCGTTTTTATTTAAAAAAAGAAGAAGCTAAACTGATCCCATTCTAATCGGCCTATCTTGATATCTATTGTGATGATATAGCCAAGGATGATTGTGTTTCTTTTCTTTTCCTTGTATTATATAATCAACTAAATATTTTGTTTAGAGGGTGTAATTGTCGCCTTTACTAATGTTCGCCGATAGCTAGTCTATATATGTTTTGTTTCTTTATATTGACGACTCGTCGTATATCAATATTTAGTGAGAGCGAGAAAATCAATTTCATAGATGAACAACAGGATAGAAACACATGTTTGTCATAAAATAGAACTTGACCTATTGTCAGCATCGATTGCACACAAGCTACTTACTCAATTGATTGTGTTGGTTGATTCAATTGATAATTCATCGTTCCAATTGCATAATATATCAACAAAATAAATATAGATATAATCTAGAGAAACAGATGGTAATTGTACATAGGATATTTTGTCTCGTCTTTATCACAATTACTATATAAACACAGTTATATTGTACAATATCATGTACACAATTGATCGTATATATCATTCACAGTTAATATATTTGTATAGGAAATAGGAAACATTCGAGCTCATGCTTACTTGATATTTTGTACACCAAGATTATCGTCAAGTGTATGATGACTCGTCTCTTCTTTTTTTTTTTTATTTAACAAAATAACCGACAATAGCTACACGAAGTCTCATCTAGTTACGCTATAAATATACGAAGCGAATCAGTCAAGTTTATCTTTTCTCGCTTCTGTAACTACAGCTTCTTCCCAGGCACCACTTATTGATCTAAACAGAAGACATTTTAAAAAAAGCTAATTACAAAATTTATTTCATACATTTTATATTTTTGTAATGCAACAAGCCATAATGGACATAGGAATGTTAAAAAAAGAATAGCTAATAAATAAAATATTGTATGTGTCATTGAAAGATGAAATAGCAGTACTACACATCCGACAATATGTACGATTGTCAATAATGAAAATATATAAAAACTTGATTCCTGCAACAAATAGTAAAAACGAATGTATATTTGCCAACTATATTCAATTACTTTTATATATTTTCTTAGTTCTGGCCATAGAGCAAAAACAAGTACGGCTGATGTTACCAAACAAAATGTATGAAACGATGTTGATAAACGTGATGCAAGACAAACCGATGAGAATAATGCTATACTAAATGATAAAGCTTTTTGAACCCTAAAATTATTCAGAACAAAACAGTTTAAGATTGAATTTCAAAATATTGACACTCTTTACATTTCTGTTTCGGCTCCATAATCATAAAATACTAAATGAGTTAACATCATCAATGTACTCATTGCATAAATTGTATCGGTACTAATTGTTTTTGTTAGTGTAAAAAGTACAGGTGAAACCATTGAACCAAATAAAAGAAAGATTGATAATGTTTTAACGTTTTCTTGTACTAAAACAAAATCATTTAAAACAACGAAACGGTTCTTTTTTTTTCAATAGTTTTTACATAATTTTAAATTAATATGCCTTCGATAAAGAAACAAACCACTAATACCAATTAGTGCATTGACAATTAATATTGTTCTCGGTTGAAGATTGCCATTATCCAAATGAATAAAAAGTATGATGAATAATATTACTCTAGAGATGTCAAGATGAGTAAATCAATTTTCACAACAACAAAAAAGAATACATACAAACTAACTTGTTGAGTTATTAAACCAGATTCAGCTACTGTCGACCAATATATTTGACGATAGGATGATGGAGATATGGTGCGTTGTACTGTACTGTTCATTTTATAGACATGATCATCATCAAGAATTTTGAAATCATCAGGAGATACGTCATAGAAAACTTTTGGATACTGACTTGAAACCATTCCTTTTTTTTAAGAACGAATGCTTCATTGAGTCATTATATTGATGATCATTCATCCTGCTGCTGTGGTTGTTGATCATTTTCCAATAACATTTTCGTCTCGTTCTGTCACTAGATGTCGACATATTTCATTCATGAAATTTCACTGAAAGAAATTCTATCGTAATTAATTTTATTTTTTTACGTTAACCAGGTATTCGCATGAAATACTTGTTTTCCTCAAATAAAAAGAGAAGTGTGTTTTCTTTTTATATCATAAACTGTTGTCATGAAAATCTATATGTTTTATACAAACAGAAATACTATAAATGAATCATACATATGTCGAATATGTAATTGGACCTCTCGAGAACCATGTTAAATTTGGTGTAGACATCGTCAATGTAAAACTTGTGCAGAATATGCTGAAAGGTAGAGCTTGTCTTTCTCAGCGAATTTTATTGATGAATCATTATCTTTGATTAATGTTTCAAGTTCGTTTGTTATCAAAACTTTCATAATCAAAATATTAGTGCCTTCCAACAAAAATTCTAATACAATATCACATTCATTCATTTTATGAGTATTCCTTTGTTACTTTTAACGAAAAAGCTGTTCGTGCAATCCCCGCAAGATTCTTTTTTATGCATATTGAGACACATTTCTCCATGATGGCTTACTTTACATTATAGAGCTTGAATAGGGCAATATTCCGTATATGATGGAATTATATGTTAGTTCTACATTATCTCTGATACTACTTTGCATTCTTCTATCACAGTCTATGATGGCCCCTGGAGCCTGTCTGTGATGGGTCGAAATGCTGTCCGTCACGTCTGCGACATGTCGTTGCTATGAATGTCTGCCACGTCTGGTGGAGAGGAGGGGGGGGCGCAGAGGACAAGACCAAACTTCTGCCCCTATATACTTCAACACTCCTTTTAGATCATATTTCACAAAATCGAATGCTCTAAGTCAAATTAACTAGAAACATGATATTATAATATTTAATAAGCACAACTTTTCGTAGCCCTAATCAGACAAGATCAGTTTTTGTGTACTCAAAAAGTGAGTACACTCTAGAATCGGTCAGTGTGTCCGGCCGGCCGTTTACACGATAACTTCCGAAAGGAGAGTCAGATCATGATGAAAGTTTCTACACAATTCAGTCTCATCAATGTCTCAGTCAAGTTCGAAGATGAGAAGGATTCGTCAAGAAATGGCTGAGTTATCGAAAAAATTGTCATTATTGATCAGACCATCCCTAAGGGGGGGGGGGACAGGGATTTTTTCAAAAAAAAACTTTTTTCTTAGAATTATTCACAACATATATAGATCAACTCAGTTTTTAACGCTGATTCCGAATCTGATATTAGTTTTGAACCAAATCGTGGCTTTCTAACAAAACATCGCCTGAAAAACGTCTCAAAATGCACAAAAAAATGGATTTAGAAACCAAATTGCCTAAATATGTCTTAGATGACCAGTAGTTTTGCGGTTTCGCAAATGCCTGGTTTTTTAGCTAATCAAAAGGACTATCGAAAGATAAAAACTCGAACTCGGTAGCTATTAATATTGGTGATTTATTAAGAAAATACTGATACTTGTATCTTATAGATTGATGAGGTTGCTTACGATCGTAATGTCGCTAGATACAAACGCAAATCCATTGAAAAATAACTCTTCTTACTCAGTTTTCCAAGCTAACCACAAATCGGAACATAAGTTCTGTGATCTCTAAAGATATTCTATCACTCTGAGAGTAGAGTCAGTGGTCACTGGATAGAGTTGCATCCAGTGCATACTTGGAACCGGACCGGCCTGTTTTGCACCGTTTTTTTTATCATTTTAAGAGGATAATGTTTCATTGTTTTATAGATATCGTACATTATAATAGACAAAGATATCGTATTGATAATTAAAAATTTAAGTATGAGAGATGACAAAGAGATTATATGAAATCAGTACTGCATTAATGTTACATCGCTTTACAATCCCGAAGGTTTAGTCCCGAATTTTATTGTTCATTTGTTTTCAGTAAATAAGCAGCGGTATATTTGCACTTTATACTGCAGTCTTATATTAAAGTGATGAACAAAAAGAATTCGTATCTTCAAGAATCAATTTTATATTTATTGAACAATTTGCATTCTCTTTTGATGTATTTATAGTTTTTCTTTGCTAGATGAGAGATGGCTAGTGTATCGTTTCTTATTGTTAAATGAAAATCGGTGTCTTTTTTTAAGTCACGTCTCTAACACTAGTTTTGTTTTAGTAGCAACTCCTCTCAACAAACATCTGTAAGGCTGAATATTTTCAGAATGCCTAGAGTAAGTTAACATAAATACAACATATGACAGCAACTCTTGAAAAGGTCATCACCGCAAGATAAAGGTGTTTCAATTTTGCGCTGTCACATTGCTAACGAATGATTTTGCACATACGTTTGTTTAAAAGACTAAAAACGATAAGAGAATAAATTCAATTGATTGTTAAACAAAATTTTATGAATTTTATATGATTAAATGAAATTATTTTCTCATATTATTTTTAGACATGTGATCATTTGAGAAAAAATGCATTAAATACTGTTCAATATGCTGAATTCAATATCTCAAGCTGTAACTTTGGAAGAAATGAAGCAATTCATACTGGTAAACATCTTGTACCTCTTCTCAGTACTTATATGCCTAAGTTACAAACATTACGTCTTTGGAGACCAGATGACTTTCCTTGGACATCGAGTGTTTATTTATTAACAAAATATAGTTAATTAGAACTATTAATTTTAAAAAAATATTTTAATTCTGAAAATGATTTAGTAGAATTTTATTAGTTATTGAATATTGTCATAACAATTAAAAAGTGAATATTAAGTTATCATATCTGATAAAAACTTTATTAATGTAGCTGATAATGAACTCAAATTTGAAACTCATCCGTTCTTCGCCTATTTATTCTAATAATATATAAGATACATTTTCTCAAATGCAAGTGTCTCCAATAGAGATAGAGTTTCTTTTTCTGCACAGGATCAATCATTAGAGAAACGCTGTATTTCATTTTATTTTCTGTTTGGGATACCGATTTCTATTGTTGAATTCTTCTATTGCTAAGTTAATGCTCGGGTATTGTGACCATGAAAGAGTATGAAGAGGTCATCTATTGGTTGGGCCTGAATTTTAATTGATAAAGAAAGAGGACTGTATTCTTTGGTATATATCGATTCCTTTTTTTGATTTCGATTGATAAAACTCAGAGTGGAAGCCGCAAAACTCTCGACTTATACTTTCGTTAACTATTTCTCGTCGAACAACACGTGAACTTCACAAAAATATAGATTTAATGTGTGAAAAGTAAAATCTAATATTCAGAAAGTCTTTATTTTCTCCTCGAATTGCTTTACCTCATTAGAAAATACAATTAAAATCTTAGGGAAAGAACTATCAAAAGAAAAATACCAAATCAGTTTTATTTTATTTGAACAAAAGATTTATTAAATATAATTGTTTGAGTTTTTTTTGGCCGAATTTATAATAAAAATGAATAAAATATTTTCAGTTCAAACATTTTTCTGTAATGATTATTCTTTTCGTCTTTTATGTCTTTAAGTTCGACCGAACTTCAAATCTGGATACTATTATGGAGTGTTGAGGAGACAATGACAACGAACTCTGCACACGCCTCAATCTATTAGTATGTTATTCAAATATATTTATTGAAGAAAAAAACTCAATTTAATAAAATCATTGTTATTTAGATGAACACAGAGCTATCTTTGAACAAGATCTTTCTCAATTATTTGAACAATTAAAACGACTCGTCTATCTTGATATTCATCGCGACACAGCATCTGAAATAATCGAACCTTATCGTTTAATGGTTCAAACTCGTTTTCGAAATAGTCGAATTGATATTCCAATATCAAGATTCGTCTTTGGATGTAATTATTGAAATTAATAGGGCATCACAATACGTCAAAGAAAACTATTTCGTTTCTCTTTTTCCTTAACTACTAATTCATTCAGATTTATTTCTCTTATTCATTGATTTTCTAAAATAAAATAGAGTTTAAATTAATTTGCAACAAGACGTTTTTCTTTAACCAAATCTCACATACGAAACATAGTTTCTTATTAATAGTGCCATTCATAACAAAAATATCATCAACTATGCATTTTGAATTACTATGATTATTGTCATTCAAACATTCTAAATATATCGAATACAAATCATCATTTGCAAATATAGAGCTACGAGTGACAGGCGTTTCTCGTTCTGAAGCGTTCCGCCCCCAAGCAATGGAGACGCTATCTCATATTGCGTTTTCTAGTATTTTTCACATATACTGAGCGATGTCATAATTCGGTTACACCGGATAACGACTTTTCGAACACGAAGTCAACCTCCTCTTTCAAAAACCTTCTCAAAGATATAAATGAGATCATTTTCAGTGTTATTTTATGGGTAATGACTTTTGATATAACTATGCATTTTAAAGTTGAGTAATACGCGTATATTAAAAGTCGTTACCCAAAAGGTAAGACTGTAATTATGAATCAGTTTTGAAAAGGGAATACTTATGCTGCCAAGTGTATGGGTATTGTGACATGAAATTGTGGATACCCGGTGTAATGGTATTATGACATCTATGGCGTAATCAGGGATGAACCAGGTGGGGCTCAGCCCCACCATCGAGATTTCAAGCCACATCACTAGAATTTTAAGGTCTACCACGGTTACTTCGAATTTACTGGGGTTTCAATTATATTCGAACACGATTTCACTGATATCTTTGTACGTCGCATGAATTTCTTCTAAAGCTTCGCGTTATGCAAGAAAAATAACCATCTGTTTCTGCTCATATTTCGAAATGATTGCATTAATTGCTCTTTCTATCAGATTCATTTAACATTACATTGAGAGAAGTCGCTCATTGATTTGTACCAGAGATCGAAAACGAACCGAACCGAACTCGAATCATTTCTTGGTATTCGATGTCAAACTAAGCAGAACGAGAACTGATATTTGGTTAAGTAGTGATTTTAAACAAACATACAAATCATTGAATCAACTATCATTTTCTTCGATGATGCTGCTGCGCAAAATGATAAAATCATGTATGATCGTTTTTAATACTTCTAACTTTTCCTTTCGTATAAGTTTATGCCTTTTCTAAGCACAACCATACTAATTGTGTCCATGAAGATTAATCACTTTAATCACTGTAAATCTGTAAATCATTTCTGGAATAGTCACTTATGGTCATTTTATCGTCGCTTATATCTCGTAATTACCATATATTAGCGTTATAATAAGTTTTTTAATTTTCTGTGCCATTTTAGTTTGCCGTCAATCGATTGTTCGATTGTTAATTCGCCATTTGATATTTCATCACCACAGTCTCTCATGATTTGATTGTAAGATCATATTTCAAATTACTTTACATTATTATTAAAATAATAATAGTAAAAATTATAAAGCTTTTGCAAGTCATAGGTAACATGTTAAAGAAGCATGCTGAAAAACAATACTAATGGTTTTTCAGGTCCGAAATTACATGATACAGGCGAATCTACTGTAATTCCTGGTTTAATATCATACTAATCCAGGTCGAATGATACGGTCCGTAACGGATATCCGTTTTGATTGACCTGCGTGGGTGCGAATAGGAAAATAGTCATATTGACCTGATGACAATTGACAACATGTTTCATTATCAGGACAATAACTAAACAAATATTTTATTTTATTTCCAATATTTCTTCATCGATTTGCATTTACCTTTGTTCATCTATTAAATAAAAGAAAACAAAATTTTTTTTCTACAATAAAGAAGTTCTTTTTGTTTTATATTTAAAAGAAAACAAAAAATTACAGAATTGTAAAAGTCATTGGAAGATCTTATATGATTCAATGCATGTTTTTATCTATCTCAACTTTTTAAATAATAGATGAACTATATTTAATTATAAAACATTAATTAATTTAGAAAAAACGTTTTCATTTCATTATTCAAATTATTTTATAATAGTGACAGAAATACCTTTCGGTTTATATTAGATCACTTCTATCTATGCTCATCATAATTTAGCATTCCTCTCTATCATCTTTTTATTGAAATTTTTTCAACAAACTAACAAATTAAAACGGTTCACGATTACGATAAAAGCTTAATTTATGAAACATTATTAAATGATGAATATAATTGTTACACGATACAATCATTGTTCATTTAGAAATTCATTTCATTTCGAATTCAATTTGAAAGCGTTTCTTTTTCAGTCAACAATCAACCACAAAATACCTGATCTTTTTTCTCAAATTGCAACTTTTCTTATAGTTTTAAAATGAATAATTACAATATCCTCTCGAAAAAACATTATGAGTCTCAACAGGTTAATCTATTAATATAAATCTTTTCCTTTACAAATAAATGATGATTTTAATTGAACAAATATGTTTTATACACTTATAACAATTCTAGAGAACTCGTTTTTTAACATCTTTTAATACAACTTAGTTATTGAAAATATTTATACTGGAAGATCTTTTCGAGAACAAAATAAATTTATCTGTGCAAATATAATGAGAATTCATATAAATATAAACTATTTCCTTATTTTATATTCTTTCTTTTATTTTATTTTTGTTGTTCAAAAAAACCTGCACAACAACAGACAACAAAAAAAAAATTATTGTGATGGTGGTGCAGGTGTTTCGTGGTGCGAAGTGGCAGAAACAGCACCAGCACCGACATTAGCCGTTTGACTCGCCACAACAGCGGCTAGTCGTTGAACAAGTATTGGCCGTAATGACCCGGCCGGCATCGCTTCAATAAAAGCCACGCAACCTTCAAGTGTATATGATGAAGTGGTGGTATATGGTGGCGGTGGCGGCGGTGGTGGTTGAATAAATTGTTGGTGTATCGATGGTGGTGATGACGAAGAAGACCTCTATAAAAAAAAATAATTTGATAGATTTGTAAATATTTAATATTTAATACGATGTAAATTCTTAACCTTGAAGTCATCTGAATAAGAACGACACATTATTGAAACGATTTCACTAACTTAATTCTATGTACTGACGCAATGGAAAAGCAGCGTTAGACACAGACTGACATGACCTGACGAAAAAAAATTCTACGGACGCACATAGCGAGTAAAAAAAAAAGAACACTGATTCTCTTGTTATTTCTCTTATTCTCTCGTTAGACGAACAAACAGATTCTGTTCTTTTTTGACGTCTATTTCATCTGTTCTATGTTCTCAGCGGAAAAAGCCTCGACTCGGTTTTCTCTTTCTCGTTCGATGACCTGTAGGATCTTCATGCAATATTCAATACTATTTAATTTCCATTGCTGTCATTCTGCCATAACCCACACTGTGACACCTGGCATTTTTTATTAGTGAACGTCTCTAATCCTCATCAAGGCGTTACACCCCCTCAGATTTTTATTATTTCTATCAGTTATAAATCAGGGATCGTTCTCGATCACTTTTTTCAACTTTGTTTCCCGAAAATCGACACGGGCGAGTTTTGCCTGCGATACCCACAGGTATCATCGAAAACAAAATTTGCTTTTCCACGAGTCAAAGCCAGATGTAATTGTAGATTTAACGGTGATGATTACGAATATCCTAATTAGAAGTGTCAATTGCTTCCGAAGTAGCCGAGACGATTCGTTTGATCCTATTTTTTGTTATTTGTACCCTCATCGAATAACCACACGATAGCATTGGATGCAAAATAATTTCC